GCAAAAAATGTAAAAAGAAGAAGTTTTTATTTAAATTCTGATATTGAAATAGAATATTATGGCAAGAAAAAAAAGATTTGACAGCCAAGTTTACTGAGAGACATATTCTAAATTCTTTTATCTCATCAGGAAGCCACTCTGATCACAGAATTTCTTTCCTTCCATTTGTGATACATTCCAACTATGATAATCAGGCTTCAGTCTTGCTATACTGGAGAGGAATGTAAAAAACTCCAAGACCATCTTATCGAACCTAAGTTACTAGAAGTCCAAGCTAGCAACATAGGTAGGCAGGTAGATAGATGGATACATAGTAGATGGATAGGGCTAGTAAAAAGATATACAGTCTACAGCAAAGATCTCCTTAAGTTAGTAGGTAGGCAGAAATAAGACTCCTAGACCATATTCTTATGGTGATATCAAAAGCTTAATAAATATTAAAGGATGAGATTTTGCTAGTAAAGCAGACATGACTGCCTTGTCTCCCACAAAACCAATGTATCTTGGTCTCACCCAGATCAGAGGAGCACTGAGCTTCTTGTACCTCAAACTTTTATCTCCTACCAATTTGGAAGAATTAACTTCTTAAGCACTAACTCATACATTATGTAACTACTCTGCCATCTGGGTTTCATATGGTGCCACAAGGAAAAGGGATATTAACATACCACAAATGCTTTCCCAGTGTCTGGCCTATCTGGGGTCTACACATTGCTTTTCTAGTTATGGTCTATCACACCGCCTTTTCTAGTTCTAGGGACAGTGGGAAGAAGGAGTAACAGTGGGAGAGTGAGGAAGTCATATTCCAGAAGTGGTTATTCCACCTCTACCTCAGAACCTGAACTGGGTGAGAACCTTAGAGACATCCAGTTAGGCAGGGTAAGTCCAGGGCTAGCAGCTAGTTTCTTTAGTTCTAATGTTGATAAGGGGAAAAAAAAAAAAAAAACATTAGCTTTCACTCATGCTACACTGCCCACGGAACAGTTATGACATGGATGTTGCAAGCAGGAAGCAGACAGATGGGTTGAAGGCAGTGCTCCTGGATTTCCATGGATTGTGTGGGGCACATGAGAGCCCCAGGGGCAGACTAAATTGGTAAGAGCATCAGTAGCCTAGCAAAGATTTGGATCAAGTAAAGAAGTGAGGCCCTCAGACTGGAGATAAAGTTTACAGACCATGGGCCTGAGTGGTGGATGTCAGCTCATCACTGTCAAAAGGACTTCAGAGAAGAGTTGTCCCCTAAGTGGTTGCTGAGAAAGCAGCCAGCCCAGGGCACAAATCTTCCCCGCTGTTCTTAGCAGAGAGCAGCAAGGACCCCAGGTCCATGGGGATCGACTCCTACAGCCAGGAGGAGACAGTGGGCTCTCATCATTCTGCACACCAGAGAAGACTAAATGTGAAAGAGAATTTTGAAATTATTTCAATGAAGAGAAAAAGAGATATTCTTAATTAACAAATTTAAGTTGTTTCAATTTCAGTGTGCATGTGTTGGGGTGGGGAATGATGGGGAAGACTATAGCCATTGTAGATGAAGCTGGATTACCTTTTCTTTGACAACTGTGGGGCTATGAGTAAATTTGTGACCTCATCACATTATTGTTAGAGAAAATTTGAGAAACAGATAAGAGAAATTAATGGGTTCACAATCTCAAATCTGTGATTCTAAAATACATAAAAGACTGAAACTGAAAGTACTTTTTAAAAAAATATTTTATTTTTTTAGTTGTAGTTGGACACAATACCTTTATTTTATTTCTTTGTGGCACTGAGGATTGAACCCAGGACCTCACAAGTGTTAGGTGAGTGCTCTGCCGCTGAGCCCCAGCCCCAGCCCCTGAAAGTACTTTTTATAATTCTTATGGCAGCACTTATGTGAGACTGTTTTTTTCTACTTTGTACGAACAACATTACATTTTTACTGCAAAAATAGTAATGATTATGGTGAAAGGGTGCTATGCTAGATCATACCAATGGTGTGCTACAATACTGTATACATATGTAATATACTGAATATTTATTGTATGATGTCTCCAAAATCCAACATATCTTTTTAAAGCTTTTTTTATTGTTTTATTTTAATCATACATAATAGTGGAATTTGTTCTTACCTATTTGTACATGCACACAATACAATATAATTTGGTCAACTTCATTCCCCAGCACCTCCCCCTTCCTTCTTATCCTCCCTCCCCCTGGTCCCCTTCCTCTATTTTATGGGTCTCCCATCTGTTTTCATGAGATTCCCTCCACCACCTTTTTTTTTTTTTTTTTTAGCTTTTTTCTCTCTAGCTTCCACATATGAGAGAAAACATATGACTCTTGACTTTCCGAGTTCGACTTATTTTTGCTTAACAATCTTCTTAATTCTTAATCCACCCATTTTCCTGCTAATGGTATAATTTCTTTTTTTTTTTTTTTGGTACTGGGGATTGAAGCTGGGTTGGGGAGAGGGTTGCTACATACTACATATGTCCCCAATTCCCACTTTTCATTCTTTATGGTTGAATAAACTCCATTGTGTACATATACCACATTTTCTTTATCCATTTATCTGTTGAATGGCACCTAAGCTGGTTCCATAATTTGGATGTTGTGAATTGTAATACGATAAACATGAACCACAAACATTTCTGGATTGTAAAACATCTTTCCCCAAAGCTTCAGATATAGTTTTAGATTCCTGTACATAATTCCATAACTCAATATAATTGTTTAGATGTAATTATATTTATGATCTCTGAATCTCTTCTTTAATTTTATGTAGTAATAAGCATAATTTAGGCTCATGGTTCTAGAGCATCCACTCTCTCCTCAGCTCATTGTCCCTCATAATACTGATACCTGAGTTCTTGATCACTAGCAATCATATTAGTAAATTCACAACAACTGCATTTGTACTGACCCCTATATTTCTAAGAGCCCCTTGTACTGCTAGAGAATGCAGTCTCTAAGGCCCAGGGTTCATGGAGGGATACATCTGTCTCCTATATCCAAAGGGATTTGCTGGAACCAGTGTAGATCCAGCTCATGCAAAGATAGCTTTCCAAAGCACAGACATGGTTGGGATACATCTACCAAGTGGCAGCCCTCCTAGGATGTGGCCCCCAAAAGCACGGGATAGGATAAGACCCAGGCTATTCTCTGTCCTCTCATTGTACAACTTTCTGGGCCTCTTGCTGAGAGTTTCTGTTCTCGACTAAAAGGCTCAGGGGGTTACTCCAGTTGAACTGGGCTAACTGGGCTGCACAAAATAGCCACACAAGAGACACAAATATCTTTTTCATTGGGGTCGCTGTGACAGCTCCTCTGACCTTAAGGGTCCGAAGGAAAAGAGAGAGGGAGAGAACATGTTGACCCCTTTTATTGAGGAGAAGCTATTCAAATGAGGCAAGGGGTCAGGTTTCAGGGGGCTGAGTCTATCTTCATGTTGTCCACTGTCAGCAGGTTGACTGACACCTGGGTAGGCCACACCCAAGGGCACAGTAAGAGAAGGGGTCACACACAAGGCACTTCCATGGAAGATTCTATCCTAAACAGGGCAAAGGGTTTACAAAGGAACAGGTGAGCATAGCTTCACCCATGGGGCTGTAGCAAGACACACCCATGCACGAGACACGACTCTTGAACCCAAGAAGGGTGGGGAAATCTCTGCCACATTTCTGTGACTGAGAGCCTCAGCACCCAACCGGGGAGTGTGACTCAGTCATGTGCAAGGTTAGTCTCCCACAGCCTCTGACTGACATCTGGATTATTTATTCATTCTTTTAAAGATGTTTTTAGTTTTCTTCATATATGTAACAGACAATTCTGAGATTATTTCTGCATATTTTATGTTTAGGTTTTCATTATAAATGAATACTCCTTGCCTATTGAAGATACACCTTTTTATCTTTGAGCATTTTTTTTTAATTTTGCCACTTTTCTGAACTAATAAGTGCTTTAAAGCCTATTCTTTTGGATCCTCAAAGTTATAATCATCTACAAGAAAGATTTTGTTTTTATCTTTTTGTGTACATATCCTTTTGTTTCTCACTTAATCTCTGACTTGAACTTTTAAAATATTACAGCATAATAATGGTGATACCAGGAATCTCTGTTTCTACCCTGATTTCAAGCAGAATATAACTTTTTCCTCTCAGAACATACCTTTCACTCTTTCTTGCTCTAAAATTAAAACCTGTGTCTTTTGTTAGACAAACTTCCCTGGAAGATAAGACTAAAGACAACAGGGCTTCACAGTATATGATGCTATTATCTGTTACTTGTAAGCTGCATGAGGACATGAGGAACATGAGCAACCTTGTGCGTCTGCTCATGATCGTTTTATAAAAGATTAATCCAGTTTTCCAGTTTGGGGTGGTTCTCATGGTCATTAGGACTATGGGTCAATTTAAATTTCCGTTAATAGATTTTTGTCCCTTTTTCCCTGAACTTTTGCTACACTTTGAGAGGGATGAGCAATTATTACATATAAAAGAATTTGGGAGGAAAATTCTCCAAGCTTATATTTATAACTACCATGCAACAACTCTTCTGCACACAGTCTTCTATAAATCCAGAATCATATTCATTTACCTTGTGTTGAGTGTTATTCTGTCAGGAAAGGACCTAGCTGAGAAAGGTTACCACACATTGGGAACAGGATGGGTGAGGTATGTCTCCTATGCAATTAGCATTCAGATTTTGAATATATCAGTATTTCGTAGCCTATCTTATTTGCTTACAAGAATGCAAGGTACATCAGAGAAAAGCAACAAAAATCGACTAGGCTCTCTCCTCAGGTGCTTACCACAATTTATATAGTTGTGAAAGATATCCCATTAAGCCAGGCACAGTGGCACATGTCTGTAATCCCAGTGACTTGGAAGGTTGAGGGAAAATGACACAAGTTTCAGTGGTAGAGTGTCCCAGGTTTAATCTCTAGTACTACAGGGGGGTGGGGGGTGGGGGAAGTGACCTGCCTTTCTGCATACTTTTTTTTTCTCTCTCTCTCATTTCAGGGAATGATGTAAATTTGCTGCACACAAGAGGAAAAGCATGAGACCAAGTATTTTTATATTAAATAAACAAATAGGCCTAGACAGAAAGGAAAAAAAAAAAAAGCCTGTTCCAAAATTGTCTTTTGAATTCAGGTAGCTAGTATTTTTATTTTTTTCTAATTTTCCATCATATATGTATAGATTATGCTTTCAAAATTACATGAAAACTACTAGCCTGTTTTATGAATACTGACAAAGACACAAGATGCCTGGGTCAGAGATAAGTGATTTCTCACTCCTGGCCAAAGCCGTAGTCAGAGTGTCAGCATATTTGAGCCAGTTCCCATGCCCTTCCATTCCCACAGAGGGAATTCACGGGTCCCATGATGGATGCCTACACACCCAGTCGACTGCTTCATAAGAGGGGAGCACTGAGCTTGAGGGATTCCCTGCTTTTTAGAAAAGCAAGCCTGCTCTTTCAGGGGATATGACCTTATCCTGCAACATCCCTTACTGCAAACATAATCCTGAGAATGGTTCATATAAAGAACACACAGTGCCTCGCTTTCATGAAACACCCAGTTTTATAAGTCAGATTTCTGTTTCTGTGATAAAACGCCTGAGAGAAATCAACTTAAAGGAGAAAAGGTTTATTTGGCTCATATGTTTTAGTCCTTGGTCACTTGGCCCCATCCTTGTGGGCCTGTGACAAGGCAATAGATACATCATAGCAGGAAGCATGTGACACAACAGCTGTTCATCTCATGGTAGCCAGAAAGCAAAGAGAGAGACTGTGCTTTTATAACAAAGCCCTTCCTTCCAAAAACTATTAAGCTATGAATCCATAAATGGATTAATCCACTCAGTAGGTCAGAGAGAGCCCTCATGATAATCACCTCCCAAAAGACCTTCCTCTGAACACTGTTGGACTGGGGAAGAAGCTTTGAGGGTACATTGCAGATCCAAACCATAACACCCAGAAAGAATGTGCAAGGATGCTTGAAACAGATTGCCTCTTTTAATGGGGGGATGAACTTTTAAGTGCTCTGTCTGCAAGATAGAAGGAGCAAAGTGTTCCAACTGAGGGGACTCATGTTTCACTAGGAACAGACTTTATCAGGGAGAAAGCTACAGAAAGGAAACAGCTCTAAGTTGTTTTCAGTTAACCTTCACAGCAGATGGGGATAGGGTCACTAACTCACAAAGAGGATCTGAGAAGGGCACCATCAGTATTTCCTACACCAGCTCTTCCTGTTACAATCATAGATTTCTTTCAGATTCTATGCTATCACTTAATGTATACAGTTTGTAATATAGAATTTTCTAAATTTACAACATATTTGAAGAGTTGTCAAGCTTCAAATGATGATTTTTTTTTAACTGATCCCAAGATTTGGCAGAAATAAACATGTGCTCTCACTTTTTTCCAGTGTTCTCTTCATTCTCATTTTCTGATAATAGAAAGTACTAAATTTCAGGATATTCTTTTACAAGAGTCCTTCCAGTTAAAAAAAAAAAGTCCCATGTTTTGCTTTTTTTTTTTTTTAAGAGATAAAATAATAAAGAAAAAACACTGGTGCAAGGGCATCCCACCTGTCTCACTTACTAGCCCCTGCGACATTGGGTGATTTAACATCCTCACCACGCCTTATTTTCTTCATGTGTCCAATAGATCTCATAATAGTCCCTGTTTCATAAAATTTTGTAGAGTGAGTGCCTTCAAAGCACTTAGAACAAATAACAATATCTGATATTTAGTAAAAACTCAATAAATCTTTTTTTATATTCCAGACCCTCTCCAACACTTCTTTTAAGCTACAGCAAAAATAAGACTAAGCAAAAGAAACATGTGCAGCCTTACAACCCCAGAGGACAATATGAGTTCAAACAATGTAAGGTATTGTTTTCTGATTTGCTACATTTCTGATGCCCTTACTGAATGTGACAAGTAAGTTTGTTTGTTTGTTTGTTTTGGCTATAATAGCATTCTGGGTTAATATCTTCAGTGAAAATAAAAACTTCTACCTACAGTTTCTGAGTGATACTATATACTATCTGAAACATCCTACTTGAATTGTTGTTCTTCTAAATACCTTATCTAATATTGCTTCACCATTATATTCTTTAATGCAACCACAGATTTTGTGAATCACATAATCAAATAATTTTATATATTTAGAAAGGAATATATAAAATCCCATAGTTCAAGCAACTTATATAATTAGTCCAAACTACAGATGAAGACATCAATTCTTAAATTTGCTCTTCCAAACTTACAAAGATAGTTCAGTGAATTTTTTTGCTAATAACATATCCTGCATTTCATTCTTATTTAATGAAGTAAATTATTTTCTAAAAATAGCATCCTGTAATTATATAAATGCATCCTTCCAATCACACTGAGGCTCTCTTGAGTAGTTAGTTCTCCTATCTACCAACCAGGAACCTTGACTGGAAGCCTGTTCCTGATTGGTGAAACTAAGCTGTAGCAGTAGAATGTCAAGGAGTAAACAAAAAAGCACAGGAACAATTGAGTTTGCTGTCTCACTACCTTCAGCATAGGCCAACCTGGACTCCTTCATCCCAAATGAGGTGGCCTCTACATTTTATATGAAGGCTCTGATTGACCATTCAACTGTGATATGTCTTATAACATGGCAATCCAATACAGATGGGAAGACAAAACTGAACAACACAGCTAAAATAAAGGGTATTCCCAGGTAAAGTGGACAAATGATTTCACTTGACATAGATTACTTTGATGAGCTTCAGTTACAAGGCTGCAGGAAGTTACCAGCACACAGGAGCTATTTCTATGGACAGTGTCACCAATTTCTATTAAGTGGCAGCAGTTGTGGTGGGTGCCATGACTCACTGCAATGTGTGAACTCATAGCCAGACAGGACTCGCAAACAGGTTTCATCATTAATCCCATATGGTGTAAAAAGGCATGGAGAGTAGCTAAGGCTTGTAGCTGTGGAGTGTCCTGTTTTCCAGGAAAGAATGTTCACATCTTGGAGCTGGTGGCTTACTGTCCTGTCGATAGGCAATGAGGGGAGGATACCTTTTATAATGGGTGCTTACTGGGAATGTAATCTCTATTTGCACTTTTCCAGAGACAGAATTTTCTGCCATCTTGTTTTTTAATCTTGTTTACAGGATACACATTGTGGAAACAGGATGAAGTTGACCAGTGAAAATTTGCCCAAGAACCCCTTTTATACATCTATATCTCAGTATGCTGCTAATCACCCACAATTCTTCCAATGGAGAAAGGAAAAGACTGGTACAAATCTGGATATTTAATCTTCCTTTAGAAAATATTTTTTATTGGAATTTCATTATGTACAATAGCATAAACAAGACAAGGAATGTATCTTAGTGATTTCAAGGAAGTGGTTAACTTTACAGCCCTTTCTAGGTTTCCTGCAAGAATCTGTGAAATTAACTACTTAATTTGGTAGCAGATTATCAGTGGAAGAATCACACAGTTTGGTCCTGATTCTTATTTTACCCTGAGAACGTAATAATAGGCTTTGAGGAAACAGAAGCCAAATATCACTTCTATCAAAGAGAACAACAATATGCTTTACTTGAAAGGGGCATTTAAAACTACCCATTTGGTTTCCTTTAGATTTTCAAAAATTTAATTTGGGGTGATCATCTTATTTGATGAGAATAGTTCTGATTACAGCTCAGAGTTAAGAATTTAACTCACCTGCAAGACAGCTTTGCCCAAAGAAAACTCAAGGTGTGCATACAAACTACATTTTCGAGGGGCTGGGGATGTGGCTCAAGTGGTTGCGTGCTCGCCTGGCATGCGTGCAGCCGGGGTTCGATCCTCAGCACCACATACAAACAAAGACGTTGTGTCCACCGAAAACTAAAAAATAAATATTAAAGAATTCTCACTCTCTCTCTCAATACTTTCTCACTCTCTCTTTAAAAAAAAAAAAAAACTACATTTTCGAACTCTGATCCAGTAGTGACCAGGGTTAGTCTGAAAAATCAATGAGTATTTCTTGATTAGACCAGGTAAAGTGTGAGGTACTGTGGTAATGGTGGGTTTTTTTGGTTGTTGTTGTTTTGTTTTTCAAGTGTTACTTTTTCCTTGAGCTAAGAAGGCCAGATTGAGGAACAAGAACTAGGAAAGAAACTAATATTAGTATTAACAGTGCCAGATGAATTGATATAATTTTTGAGAGAGAACATTCACATTGTATGATTAATAGAATTTTTACTTTCTAAAATCAGATCATTACAACCATTCTAATTTGGTGGATAAAGCATTGCAGCTCTTGAAGGAGAGAATAAGAAGAGGAGATGCTCTGGCATATTTCCTACGGGGTCAACTATATTTTGAAGAGGTATCATTTTAAAAAAATTTGTTTTCGTTCCCTATAATTCTGTTGTTAGATTCTCCGAGCAAATTTTCATGTAGAGTTCCTTATGTTGTTATACCAAGAAATTCTGTCAAATTATCTGAATTATGGTTGTGGCTTTAAGTATGATACACTACTACCAGCTTAAGGAGATCTTTGATCTTTTTTCAGAGAAATCATTTTAATAATGTCATTTATCAGACAGATTTTTGATATAAAAATCCATTTCCACATTAAAAATTAAAAATTGAGTTTACACATTTTTGCTCAAAATATTTAATATCATTTATAAGATACGTTCATACTAATAACAATTGAAGGCCCTGATTCTTCTCTAGTTCTTAAAAGTGGCTTTATAGTGTGAAGAGGCAATTTCCCTTTTTTACTCACATTATGCTAGAATATCCTGGGAGGTGAACCTAAGAAAACTATGCAAACTAACCATCCCAACTTCAGTAAAATAGCCTCAATTCTTCATCAAATCCCAAGTTAGACTTGAAAAGGGAACATCTCCAATCCCTCATGATCCATTGAATATTTGGGCAGTTGTTCACCCACATCCCACTTTCTCTCTAACCTTTTAATGGCATCTTCATTTATTCTGGAAACAAATATTTATTGAAGACTCTTGCACTTGTCAGTCTGAACTGACAGCACAGTGGCTAACAGTGTGACCTCTCAGCTTTGGCCCTGGGTTCCAATATAGCTGTATCACTTATTACTGTGTATCCACTTAATACTGTGTATCCTCGGGCACAAATAAACTCATGGTGCGCCTCTGTTTGGGATTACTTTAAGATCATCATAAAAATAATTAAATATTTTCTGGGGGGTTTAGGGTTGGTATGAAGAAGCATTAGAACAGTTTGAAGAAATCAAGGAGAAAGATCACCAAGCAACTTACCAGCTGGGAGTAATGTATTATGATGGGCTGGGGATCGCTGCAAATGCTGTAAGTTATTGTTTTGTTTACAGAGTTTAAGATTTCATTGTCAATGGATTATTTTGTACAATTAAATTATGTCTTAATTAATAAATCTCCATTTTTCATTTTAATATCTAATTCCATTTAATATCTAATTCCATAATCTTCATTTCTTTTACAGTATAAGAGCAGCAAAAAATAAGACATAACTTTGTGCAAAAATATTTTAAAGATTAATGATATTATTTTTACATTTATGTCAAAAAATTACTTTTGTCTTTCTCCTCCTCAACTGTAACCTCAGGTTATCAGTTCTTCAAAATCCTTCCAGATGCTTATGTAACCAGGTTCAACTATCAAAAAGAATGGACTTTCTTATATTGAAACAGTGGACTCTTGAACATGTTAAAATATTTCCTAAAATTATTATAGATATTTTCTTCGAATCTAGTGACCTTAGATAAAAATAGAATTTTATGTACTGTATTGATAGTAAAGACAGTTGTCTGTTGCTCTAAATTTTGAGATACCAGGTCAGAAACAATACTGGGGAAATTCAGATACTTTTTTTTGGCTGAGCAATTATATTATCAGTTTGCCAGGGACTTTTTTAATTATACAAGTTGAGTCACTAAGGGTCAATTAGAATTTCTGATTCAATAATATTTCTTTCTATCATTTGCTTTCAATAACATTTCTTTTTAAAATGATTTCCTTTATTTAAAAAAATTCCAAAACTACATGACCATTTATAAAAATTTAAAAAATAGGCAAAAATAAAATCACTCATATTCTATATTAACATGAACACTTATTATTTTATGAAAACAACTTACCAGAACTTCATTGTGAGATCATATAGCCAATTGCCTCTTTGTATATGTTTAATATGCATCTCCCTGTCTCTGATTCCACATCTAATTCATCTAAAAACATATTACTTGAAATGTACACAAATCCTAATATTTAAGCAGTGGAATCTGTGAACTAGTACCATTCATAGTGACTATTGTCATCCTTGAAATTGCTCTTGAAGGACACAAATATGGCTAGAAAATCAATTTCTTTTTTTTTTCTCTTTTTTTACTGGGAGCACCTACTGTGCAATCCTTGAGGTAGGTACTCACCCTCACTTTTGTGGCCTTTTTGCACTAGATTAGTTGGATTGATATATTATTTAATTATTTGTGATTCCACAAACATTTGGAATGATGTCATAAACAATACTAGGTGCTGGAGAGTCAAAGATGAGTGTAAAAGGCTTTGATAACCTGGTGCAGTTGGGTGTCCTGAACTGAGATAGATACTCACTAGGCTCAAAGGTTGTCAGGAAGTTTTCATAGAACAGTTGACACAAACTGAAACTTCCTGGTAAGAAAAGCATAAAAGGCAGGGTACAATTGCAAAACATATAATGTAGCAACCTGGGAGACTGAAGCAGGAAGATTGCAAGGTTGAGGTCAGCCTGGACACTTAGTGAGAACAGCTCAAAATAAAAAATAAAAGGGACTGGGAATGTAGTTAAGTGGTAGAGTAACCCTGGGTTCCATCTCCAGTATTGAAAAAACAAACCAATGTGCTTTTTAAAAAATATCACACAAAGTCTCAAGACATTTCAGAGATGTACTCTATGGCTATGTCACTTTCTTCTTTAGTATTTATCAGTTTTGCTATAATGAAAGATTAGTCAATTGACTTCCAGAATTAATTTGGAAATAGAAAAGTAAAGGAGGACACAGAAAAAAGTTTGAGGGATGTAGTTATTTCTTCATGAGGTTATCTGGTGCTGTACTGTGTTCATTACCTAAACACAGTTTCGTGAAACTACCCGTGTCTCTTTCTAGAATTGAAAATTGTTTTGAGGTATTTGTTTTATAGTTATTTGTGCTTTCTAATTCAGTGGTCTTCTATTTACATTTGAATACTATCAAGGCTAACCCATCACGTGAGCTATGGGATTATTTAGCATAAAACTTAGAAATAAGTGCTTAGGAAATGATAAGAATGGTAGGATTATATTTAAAACCATCTTCTTTGGAAACCTTCAAAATATACATATTCTCTAACCAGAGAGAATTTACAAAAACAAAAATCAATAATTTAAATTTTCCAAAGAAATAATGAATGCTCAAAAGATTTGCATAAATTTCCCTAGTAAAAAAAGTACACATTTGCTTTACTTAAAGCAAATAATACAGAAAACATTTTCAAATGGTTAACTGAAGATATTCCAAAGAAGTATGCATAGAAACACTCATTGAAACTTAATGGAAAAAATAGGTATATAATGATAACTTTAGCCATAGTCAATATGAAAAACATAAAAGGACAAAGCCTATGTGTGCCAAACATCATAGCATCAAACTACACAAAATGTGCTAAAAGTCAACAAAATATTTTAAATTAAAATAATAAATGAATTGATTAAAATTAAATTATTTCAACTTCTTAATGTGATAGGTGATTTTCAGTAAATGATGGATAAATTATGTAAACTATGTAGGATCCAGACAATAAACTTTCTTAAATGACTTTTTAACACTGTGGTTGAGGCACCAAAATTGAACATTTTGTGTTTGAATGCAAAGAAAATCATAGCATCACTCTCCCCCCAACACACACACACACACATACACACACAAATTGTGTGTGAAAACTCCATTCCTTTAGATTTAAATGAAATGTATCCAATTTCCTCCCACCGCTACAGTTTCATAGATTATCAAAATCAAAGAACTTCAATCATAAGTAATTTAGAGTGTCAGTAATCGCCTCTGCTTTTTTCTTCATTGTCTTTTGAATATCTTTTAAATTTGTCCCCAGCCTTTTATTCTCATTTTTTTTTCAGTTCAGACCCACAATACCCCTTACCTGATTTATAACAAAAGCTCATCCCCTACTTCTGCCCATGTACCAAATTCATCATTCATACTGCCACCAAGGCCATCTTTCCAAAATATCAATCATGTCCCGTGTTTCATGTCAAAAGGTAAAAATAAAGGAGCATAAATTGGGAGGTTTCCATGGGAAACCAGGTATTTGACTTGCCAAGAAGAGAGGCCATATAAAGTAACGTTTATTTGGTAAGTTCTCCTTGGCTCAGAATCTGGCTTTTAGCCTTTCAATTCCAGAAAACTTATCATGTCTTTTCCACAGGTTGATTAACCTTTTGAAATGTGAATGATGAGCCAAACCAAGTTATTGAATTTCTGGCTATTTATCAGCACACCACAATCCCAAAGCAGCTCTGAGTCACCAAAACATAGGCAAATTTATCTCATGTTTCTCACCCAAAGCAGTTTAGTCATCTCTCTCATGGCCTTTGCATCCTTCAGGTATCTTCGAAAGCTTTTGAGAGGCTTTCTATGATCATATTATCAAAACAACACTCTTCTTTAGTTTCTAACCCAATAACTGCTGTTCCAGTCCCCCCCACAAGCTCCAAATTTCCCATGTCTGCTTGACTGCTCCCAGCAGGGGCTTCACCACATAACCTCAGGCCCAGCCATCTATGACTGTATCTGACTTTGGCACCCAGATTCCACGTGGAAGTTTGAGTTCAGTTGGTCCCACCAAGTGTAACAGCTGGATCACTTGGCTACCACAAAATATACACTGTACTTCTCAGGTCATCTGTTTTCTCACAGCTTCTTGACCATGATGCTTTTTGTTATAACTCCCTCTCCTTCTGCCGCTTTCTCTTCTAAAACCTTACAATTGGCCAATAATGTCTCCCTTTTCTCAGATTGCTTCCTGACCTTTTCAGACAACTGGTTGTCCCACCAGCAGCTCTCTTTCATTGAAGTTTCTCCTTTTAGTCTCCAACGTACCATCTTCAAGGGTGGTGCTGCCATTTTACTTATATCCTCCAATTAGACTTTCAACCATTGTCTCATCTCTCCACCCACACAAAGTACCTACTTTTAAGTTTATACCCTCCATTGCTTTCCTAGTTCTATCAATTTCCTGGTTGTTGCTCACTTCCTTATATTATTCTGAAGGCTTTGACTCTGTTTAGTTTTCTTCCTCATGTCATTCCATCATTTGATCTGACTTCAGTGTCCATGAGAATGGACAATCTAACACCTTAGACATAGAGTTCCTTGACAGGCCCAATGCATTTCCAGTGTCCCTTGCCTCTTCTCCATTTCAGCCATCCACCCACTGTCCATATCCTCAACCATATCATCCCCTGAAAAATCTTGTTTTACACCACATAAAAAAAATTTAAACCCCAGTATTCTACCACATGACCACAGTCCTTGGCTCTCCAGGTCTCTTATTTCCTCACTGTTAATAAACAGACTCTGGGTCTTAGTCCAATCCTTCAGTCTCCATTTTCTCCTAGTCTTGTAGTCTTGTAGATTTACCTTCCTATTCAACTCTAACCTCACATGTGATCATGGGAACCAATATTTCATCTTTTCTTATTGCAACTCCCTATACCACATCTTTGAACTGCACATTCATAGTTCCAGGATGCTTTTCCATTCATTCATTCTCACAAATATTTATTAAGTACCCATCATTTACCTAGTACTTTTCTCAGCAAAGATATACCTAGAGGAAAGATAATTAGATGAACTATGAAGAATATAAAACAGGTTTATATATGAAAGTAGCTGGAAATGGCATTTTAGATTGGGAAGATCTTTATAGTCTCAGATTGAGAAAGCCACTTTGAAGACATGAAAAATCTGAGCAATAAGGAGTAACCATGTACAGCTAGGTCTAGGAGAACATTCCAGGCAGAAGAAATGACTAATTCTAAGGCCCAAGAAACAGAAAGAACAGAATCACTGAAATGTAGTCAAATTAGAGAGACAGGGTCCAGACCTCATGAGATTTAACAAAATGTGGCCAAAGGCATGATTCATATTCTCAATGCAATGTGAAGTCACTCAAGAGGAGTGGAATAAATGATTTACATTTTAAAAAATCATTTGTCTTTTATGTAAAGAGTGAGTTGATGCAAGAATGGAAGCAAGAACTCCAGTTAGGAAGCCATGTAGTTCAGATGATGACTTTAAAAAAATTATGATAGTGATAGTGGAAATAAAGAAAAGTGGGAAGATTTAGGATACATGTTTTAGAGGAGACAGGACTTTTACTAAAAGTGGGATGGCTTTTAATAAAAATGGGATGACTGAGTGAGGAGCAGATATGATGTATGATAGAAATACCCAAAAGTTTATATTTGAAAATTGGAGATGTCAAGTAGAGTGTCAGGAATTCAGTGGTGCAGTCAGAAGTGGAGATATAAATGGTGGATTAACTGTGGAGCAGTGGTAGTTTTGGTATTAGATTGCATAAGATTGATGAATGTGAACACAGATAGGGAAGGCAGCCAAAGACAGAGATTGGAACCATCCATCATCTAATGGTGAGAGGAAAAGAGCCTACAAAAGAGAAGGAGAAGCATTATCCAGGGAAAATGTAGGAAGGTCAGAAGAGCATGGTGATCTGGAAAAGTCAAAATGACGAAAATATTTCAAGATGGAGGGGGAGTGATCATCTGTTTCAAATTCTGCTAAGAGGTAGAGTAGAATGAGCACTATCTACTGGATATGTTTAGATGAATTTCATTGGAAACCTTGACAAAAGCATTTTCAGTGGAGTCATAATGGACCTTAACTGGTTGAGGAGTTATATGGAGGTAAGAAAGTAGACATAAGCACAGAAGTTTGCTATAAAGTAGAACAAGTAATATGTACAGTAACTAATGGAGATCATGGACTCAAGAGAAATTCTCCCTACCTGCCCCCATCATAGATAGCACAGTATGTTTGTAAGTTCATACACAAAATCCGGAATTAAAATTGATAAATAAGGTAAGATGATAGGTCTAATGTTTCATTTGATATCCTCTGTTTTCTTGGTGAAATAAAAGTAAAGCTATATGCTCACCTCAGCTGTATGTGTCCTAAAATTGAACAACACAGAAAAAAATTAACACCATGAATAGGGATGACATGTAAATTTGTAAAGCATTTCATGCTCTTTATGAAACTAAAAAGTAGAAAAAAAATAAAGTGAAACTATGAGCTGAGGAGGAGACAGGAGACGGGTGAGGAAGCTTAAAAAAAGATAAGGTCCCAAATAATGTCTTATCCATTAGGTTAGGTAAGTGGAAGACATAATTGAAAAGACAAATTCATAGCATTGCTTACCAGTGTTGAGGGCCTCCTCTCAAATTTGTGGTTATAAATTTAAAGAAAGTTGTGTCATTATGGTTGTGGGGTTTTCCAACCATATTTAGCTGCTTAAGGACAGCAGAAAAATGGGGCATTTGCTAGGTGGTCCCATGTTATGAATAAAAAGAGGGGAAAAGTATTGAATTTAATTATGGATATAAAATAAATTGGGTAACATGGGAAGTCAGAACCCAAAGGAGTAGAGAGAGACGATGAAAATTGGTAGGTTCAGAGCTGGAGTTGTGGCTCAGTGATAGAGTGCTTGCCTAGCATGTATGAGGTGCTGGGTTCAGTTCTCAGCACTATATATAAATAAATGAAGGAAATAAAGGTCCATAAACATCTTAAAAAAAAGTAAAAAAAGAAAATTGGAAGGTTCAATGGGTTGCGTATGGCAACTCCAAATCAGAATGACTTGAATGTAATTATATAAGGAGATCAGAGGAGCAAAGAGATTCTGTGAGTTCCTCTTTACCTAGGATTATATTTTTAGCTTGAGCATACAATTTCCCAAGGTAAAAGGGGCAAAGATAAAATTAATTTTTCACCTTCTTTCATTAATTTATCAACTTATTCTTGATATAATTTGATTCACAGTCTGGTTAAACTGTGTATGTTTTATGTGAAAGACTTAAAATGTCTGTTTTCTTTTTTGTGGAGCATTATAAGGTCACTATTATCCTAAAGAGATAATAATGACATTTAGGCCCCAACATTTGGAGAAGCTACAAGTGAAATTTGAAACTAGGATTGAGGGGAAAATGCTGCCAATTTTTTCACTGAGATAAATTGTGTTGAGGACAGTGGTACCCAGGTTTCAGAATCTGAAAAAGTTTTGGGCAGTTTCTCTAGCATAAGGCAGAAATCCTTTGAATAAATTTAGTGCAAGAATCAGGACACATTGATTTATGTAGTTCATGTTATACAGGTTGATTGGGCCATAGTGCTGTTCATCATTTGTCAGTTTTTCTATTTTTCAGAGACACTATTTTCACATCTTGTCTCTAATTGCTACCCAGATTCAACTTTATGTATTAAATGAAATCATAATCAAATTTATTACAAGAATTTTTATGAATCTCAAGTTGATTCTAAATTTCATATGAAAAGGGATATATACAATATAGTCAGTCTAATTTTAAAGAATGAACAAAGGGAGGGGGAGGGGACTTACACTAATAAATAGCCAAATATATCTGTTATACTTAAAATAATGTGAAATTTGTTTAGAAATAGATAAATAGATCAAAAGGTAACAAAATACTGAGTTTAGAAAGGGCCATGTAGATGTATGGGTATTTAGTGTATCATAAAGTAATTAATTCAAATCTATAGAAAATAGTGATGGGACAATTTGAATACCATTTGGTATTCTATTTTGATTTATATATTTTTGAGCTGTATATTTTTGGCTTTGTTTTGTTTTTAGTAGTTTCCCTAGACAGTATAATATGCATCTCTAACTGATAACCATTTACATAGAATCAATGCCAGATTATTTCAGGTAAAAATGTAGGAACCCTGAAGAGAAATGTTTTTATTTAACACCCTCCAACCTTGGTGTTATTTGCTGTGGTATGTGTGTTATATTAATAATGCTATCAACTTCAAAATATTTCAGCTACAATTCTATTACCTCAAAAATAATTTTTGGGTTAGTCACAAATCTTTTGAAAAACAATCTCACTATCTACACATGTGTATTTAGTGTGTCTCTGTGTGTGTTCTTTGATATTTGCTACGTATTTACCATATTGGATGCTCATTTCTTCTATCAAGATTTGCCATCTGGCATCATTCCCCACTTCTTTGGGGGAAGTGGAACCTTGGACTTCCTCTAAAGGGCATTTTTTGTAATACAGGTCTCCAGGTTCAGAATTATCTCCAATATTGATTATTGAAAAATGTCTTTAATTTGCCTTCAGTTGTGACTAATTATTTTTCTAGTTAACAATATTTTTTCTGCATTTTAAATATGTTACTCTAAAGTCTTGACCTTCTTTATTGCTCCTTGAAGTCAGTCATTGCAAAGTCAGGGACTGCAAATTGGTGCAATCACTTTGCAAAGCATTATGGAGAGTTCTCAAAAAATTAGGAATGGAACTACCATTTGACCCAGTCATCCCACTCCTCAGTATATATCCAAAGGATTTTAAATCAGCATTCCACAGTGACGCAGCCACTTCAATGATATTTATAGCAGCATAAATCACAATACCTAAGCTGTGGAGCCAAACTATGTGCCCTTTAACAGATGAATGGATAAGGAAATTGTGGTATATATACACGCAATAGAATATTACACAGCCATAAAGACGAACAACTTTATGACATTTGCGAGTAAATTGATGGATCTGGAGACTGTTGTGCTAAGTGAAATAAGCCAATCCCAAAAAACCCCAAATTGGAATATTTTCACTGATATGTGAAAGCTAAACCACAATAAAGGTGGGGAGGGGAAGAAGAGAAGTTCAGTAGATTAGATATAGAGGAATGAAGGGAAGGAAGGGGGCATATGAATAGGAAAGACAGTGGAATGAATCTGACATAATTTTCCTATTTATCTATATGAAAATACCTAAGTGAATCCCACTATCATGTATACCTACAAGAATGGGGCCCTGATATGAATAAGATTTATGCCATACTTATATAATTTTACCAAAATGGATTCTACTGTTATGTATAACTAAAAAAGACTCATTAAATAATGTGAAAGAAGTTACTGGCTATTCTTGTACTTTGGTAAATGTTAGTTACTTTTGGTAAGTGCTGTTTCAGGACCAGGGGTACAAAGTGGGAGGGAGGAGAGGAAAATGCAACGCATATTAAGACTAATGCAATTCTGGAAGCTGTAAAAATGAAGATTTCAGGGCTGGGGTTGTGGATTAGTGGTACAGCGCTTGCATAGCATGTGTGAAAGGCACTGGGTTTCATTCTCAGCACTGCATATAAACACAATAAAGTCCATTGACAACCAAAATATATATATTTATATATTTTTAATAGATTTCTTATATCCCAGAGCTCCTGGGAATGCCTGAGTAGAGATGTATTTTTAAACATTCTTTCCTATCTTATCTCTACCCTTTAAGAATCCAAAGCAATCATACCCCTTAGGCTGAGATCTCTGACGTCAAACATCATGTCCAAGAGCGAACATTGTGTGCTATTGGGAGAAAAACTCAGTTTGGGTAAAACTAAAAACTAGGTTTTGTTTGTTCTTTTCCTTTGTGGGAGGAAAAAGGAGTGGAATATATGAAGAAAATTGTTGATTCTCCATGTCCCAAAGCAAGACACTTAAAATTTGCTGCTGCTTACAACCTCGGAAGAGCTTATTATGAAGGAAAAGGTGTTAAACGATCAGATGAGGAAGCTGAAAGGTAATTGTACCTGGAAACAAGATTTTGTTTTACTGAAATGCTGAAACAGGGAGTAACTCACCTTGCTTTCTCTTTTAGACTGTGGCTTTTTGCTGCAGACAATGGAAATCCAAAAGCTAGTGTGAAGGCTCAGTGTATCCTAGGATTATATTACTCAACAAAAGAACCCAAAGAGTTAGAAAAGGTAACATTCCCTTTCTTCTTCTTTTTTAATGCTAGCATTACATTTAGATTCATATTTGCTTCATTCTTTTTTGAGAGAACAGTGGGGAATAAGTGTGTAGTGTCAAATGTGTCTTGCATTTCCTTTAAGATGTAAAGAAAGTTCATATTTTAGGATCTCAACGCTCATCTCATACCTTTTACTCATCTGTAAATGCTGTTTTCCCTATTTCTACCATAGGAGAGAGTATTTAGAGGTGAGAGTATTTTGTATAAAGTTACATATATAAAGCATAACATTATAAAAGCTATAATGGTCCTGAAATTAATGCCCAGATTCTCTTAAGTGTGAATAAATAATATCACCTTTGATTTGAGGAAATAATCAATGAAACTAAGTAAAATATATCAAGAATTAAAAGGTAAATCCATTTAAGTTTTTCACAGAAACATAATCTCTTCGTCATCAATGATGGGAACATTGTCCAAGAAATTCTACAGGGAGAACTGATTTCTGCTTCTATGAGAGAAATAAATGGCAAATTAGTAAGAGGCAGATAACAACTAAGACTATCCTCAGATAACTGAGCAGCCACTTGTAGGTAGATTTTTAAAGTAATTCAAATTCACCATAATAGAGCATCAAGCAAATGCGCTTGAGACCACATACAGCTTCCATCCTCAGTAGTCTTTGATCTTGGCAGCTGCCTTCTCTACCACCCGGCTGTGGCTCTAACTTTTCCTTAGTGTCAGCAGCTCTTCTCTCCCTTAGGAGACTCATTGCAGGTGTCCTCAAGCCTTTCACTTCTGATTTTACACCATCTTGATCCTTACTCTGGAAAGTTTGAAGCCTGAAACAATGCCAGCTGATCCTCCCCTGTTAGCCATTCTTGCCTGTGTCGTCACCAGTACGAAGTGGAGAGAACTCTTGCTGGCCTGTGCATTCAGTGCTTGTGTGCCATACATTCAAGGGGCTAGAACTACTTCCTAAACATGAATGTTCTATCATACTATTTTACAATTAGCCTTTTCTTTCTAGGATCCCCTTAAAATTTCAAATTGTTAATAAAATGATCAACTTGTGCTCCTTCTTAGGCATTTTATTGGCATTCAGAAGCATGTGGCAATGGAAACCTGGAGTCCCAGGGTGCTCTTGGTCTCATGTACCTTTATGGACATGGCATCCGCCAGGATACTGAAGCTGCGCTGCACTGCTTAAAAGAAGCAGCAGAACGTGGGAATGTCTATGCTCAAGGGAATCTCGTGCAGTATTACTATAAGATGAAATTTTTTACAAAGTGTATCACATTTTCCAAAAGGTGACTGTCTCAATCCATTTTGTGTTGTTACAATAGAACACCACAGACTAGATACTTTATAATGAATACAAATCTGTTTCTCACAGTTCTGGAGGCTAGGAAACCCAACAGAGATGCCGCAAGTTCAGTTGGTTAAGGAGGGCCTCATCCTGGGGAAGAGATGGGACGTATGTTGTTTTCATGTAGTGGAATATGAAAGCTGTGTGAAGCATCCTAAGAGCTTTAATCTCATTCATGAGGGAAGAGCCCTTGTGATCCAGTCACTTCTTAAAGAATGTCATCTTAGCAACACCTGAATTTTGCAGGGGACATATTCAAACAGCAGCAGTAAGATTCTGGATGAAAGTATTTCAGTAAACTCTGTGTGGTAGAGCACACCCATCCTAACCCCAGCTACTTGGGAGGCTGAAGCAGGATAGCAAGTTTGAGGCCAGTCTGGCCAATGCAGAAAGACAAAAACTCCACCTCCCAAATCACCAAAAAAAAAAAAACAAAAAAAAACTAGATGTTCTATGCTAGGCTAGATCTGTTCATTAGAACTTTCTACAATGCTAGGAATAGCTACTGAGCACTTAAAATGAATCTAATGTAATCTAGAACTGAACATTTAAATTTGATTTAGTTTTAATTAAAAAAAAAAAAGCTACATAGGGCTAGTGGCTACCATACTGAATAACACAATCCTATGCCCTTATCTTCAGGATTTCAGTGCTGTAGCTTTTTAAAACATTAATTGGTTTATTTGTAATAAGAAAATACTTTTACAGCAGAATTATAAAAATCGTGCATTTAAAATAACAGATCAATGCATCAAAAAATGTCTGCTAATTAAGTTTAAATTACTCCTTGTGTTCCTCAGTCATGAAGTTGTTACTGCACAATCAAAATACAACTTCATGATTATAAAATGAAACAGTAGTTATAAGACTGACGCCCTTATAAAATATATGGGAATTTTTCCCATAAGGCTCCACACACTTTTCTACATACTATACAAAAGCAATGTACAAGGAAAAATGCATGTTCTCAAGTGGTCAGCAGACTATGCATCTGCTGATGCATTTCACAATCATGCAGTTCCACAGAGCCCAAGGTCTCCCTTCACCCACAGCCCAAGTGAGAGACAGTGATGAAGAGATGAAAGCAGGAAGGACCTGCTTCTCCCCTCTCCCATCTTAGCTTTCAGGAAGCAGCTACTTAAAGCTTTGGGTGACCTCCAGTGTCCCTGAGCACATGCCCATCCCAATTAAGACTAAATTACTCCTTAAAAATCTGTGGAACTTTCCATTATCTTCCCCATTTCTAATCTCTCTAACATTGTGAATAGCATGGAGTTGACTAGATATTATGGTCACATGATTTTCCATATTTGCCTCTGGTTTACAAAAGATCGCCTTTTTATTTCCCACTTTTAAAGAAAACAGATATGCTAGCTTTTAAAAGTAGTTTCTGGTCCTATTTTAAGCTTAAAATATTATGAGAAAATTACTATCTAGAAATTTTATTTTAATATCATGAGAAAAGTACAATCTTTTTCTAATGGCTATTAAACCTAAAGAGTAAGGTCATAGGGAAACTGTAACCTCTTTAATTAGCTTACATTCCCCCAGTATCAGGTGATGATAATAACACATGACTATTCGTCAGACTACCTAGTTTGCAAAGAACAATGAAACATCACTTTGACTACAAGGACAATTTCTAGACATGTCATTTTGTAAAAATGTAAACCATAGCTGATGTTTTTTTTTTTTTTTTTAACTTCACAATTTAACATCCTATCAGGATTGCTGACTATGATGAGACTCATGACATCTCCATAATAGCCCAGGTCACAGACTGTCTCCCAGAATTCATCAACAGAGGCATGGCCATGGCATCCTTCTACCACGCACGGTGTCTTCAGCTTGGCCTGGGCATCACAAAAGATGAAGAAACAGCTAGACTATATTATTCTAAAGTAAGCTTGAAGAAAATATAAAGTTGTCTTTGTTAACTTAGAAAATATAAATGCTTTCTGCATTATTCTGATTTCCAAACCAAGTCCATTTTAGGTTTTAGACTATCCTCACTTGGTATTCTTTCTAAATTAATATAAGCAGAGAAAATTCTGGGTAAAAATATCTTGAAATGTGGTATATACATCCTGAAAAGTCAGCAAACCAAATATTGCAATGTTAGAACTCTTTTCCACATGATGGAGAGGTGATCATCCCATTATTTTGCAATAAGACCACCTTTAAGCTGAGTGTGATGGTGCACACCTGTAATCCCAACAACTTGGGAGGCTGAGAAAACAGGAAGAAAAATAAAGAGGACCATGGGTTTGTAGCTCAGTGGTAAAATGCCCTTGTTTCAATCCCTAGTACACACACACACACACACACACACACAAAGACCATATTCAGAATGAAGTGTCCATTTTTGCTGTTGTATTTACCATGGGAGATACTGATGGAATGGAGAAAATTTAGAGGCAGTAAACCAGTACAGGGTCTGGTTTAACCATGTCATATGAGGCATTGGAATAGAAATGAAGAATGTTTTATTCAGAGCAAAAGGATATGGCAGTGTGTATGTGGGGAGGTGTGCTGAAGTGATCTCACTGAACTAATAAAGTGTCCTAAAGAAAAGGTACGTGGGAAGAAGCAACCAGAGACAAGGTTCTTGTATTACGGAAAAAGGTAAGGCAGTACTGTGAGGGCAGGGCAGGAGGACACAGGGAAAGCAAGACCTAAGGTCATGAGACCCTTGCCTGACACAACTGAAACAGGAAACAAAAACAAAAGTTTTCCTTATAAGTCACCTCCTGCCACCAGAAGCTAGTGACCAATTTCCCTGGTACTGAAAGGAAAATTTCTGCACAGAGTGGGGGTGGGGGTGGGGGAGGTGGGGAGTGTTGGACAGGATAACCTTTGATCTCTCTCCCAAATTCCTGACATTCTGCAATAAACACTGATGTGGCTATGTCCCTGTAGTATGCTGTTTTTAAGTCCTTTTGAGTATAGACCGAGGAGTGGGATAGCTGGGTCAAAAGGTGGTTCCACTCCAAGTTTTCCAAGGAATCTCCATACTGCCTTCCATATTGGCTGCACCATTTTGCAGTCTCACCAGCAAGGTACATATATCAAAAATTTTCCTTGGCCCTGATAAAATTTTCTCTCTTTCAAATGATAAGTGGATATTTTTTAAAGATATTTATTTTTTAGTTGTAGTTGGATACAATATCATTAATTAATTAATTAATTTTTATGTGGTGCTGAGGGGATTGAACCCAGGGCCTCTCCTGTGCTAGGTGAGCACTCTACTGCTGAGCCACAACCCCAGACCCAAAAGTGGATATTTTGAGCATGATCTATTTTGCATGTGTTAGATTTTAAATTCCTTTATTTCTAGTAAGAAATACAGAATAGAAAAGGTTAAGAAATTTCCTTGATACTCATTGTACTTTCTTTACTATTCATTAAAAAAAGAAGACAGACTCAAACAATTAGAATACATTTAATGACTGGCTCCTTTTGATTTTAAGGCTTGTCGTCTGAATCCGGCAATGGCAGATGAACTTCACTCTTTAGTTATTCATCAAAGAATTTAGACCACAGTGCATTTCATCAAAGATCGTCAATCCTAACTCCATATAATGTGTATATTTTTATGGCAGCTATGTATGTTATTTTCTGCATCCCCAGTTATATTATCCTGGGTATTTTACAGATGATATGTTACCTTTGTTCTTGAATTTGTATTCTCTAATTTTTGCAACCAGAAACCTAGCCACAGGATCAAATTGCTGGAAGAGTCCTCAGAGTCCACCTCTTAACCTATAGCGTAGCCTAGACCATATTAAATTTGAAGCTATTCCTTAAAGCAAATGTCTTTTTCCTTTCTTACATACACAGTGTCTTAAAGATTTAGCAGTTCTAGTTAATAAGTTCCAAATCATAAATGCTACAAGCTTATTTTAAAACACCATTTGAAAGTTTCTTTAAATTTCTTTGGTGCTTAGTTTTGTGAATTTTGAATAGCACATTGTTAATTTGAATTTTTTGTTTCAGTCATGAAAAAATTTTAAATTCACAAAATAAGGGCCAAAGAAATGTAAAGAATTAGATTTTCAAATAACATTTTTGATATATAGCATTTCTACTTCTGAAGTTATTAAAGCTAAAAATATTTTTTAAAATAATTGACTTATTATAAACTTTTAAAAGAGAGGGTCTAAGAAAATTGCTTGGAATTTCGTTCCTCCAAATATTACCTCAAAGATCTTTTTAATGTGCAACACCATTACTACATCCCTGATGAATATTCATAAGATAATTCATTAAAGCAAGATGCTTCTTGGTCTTTCAACACATTTTACATTTTGAAAACAGATACATTCAATGCACAATAAAATGTGAGAAAGAACTCATCAAATCACCTAATTATATAAGAATTATATCTAAATTTTGTTTTAAAACTCCATGAGCAAGTCTTTCTGTCAGTTATATCTATGAAAGCAAATGGTGACAGTAAGAATAGTAAGAGTCATATCCATAAGATTGTATAGTGCTGGGCCTGGTGACACACACCTGTAGTCCCAGTGATGCGGGAGGCTGAGGCAAGAGAATCAAAAGTTCGAGGCCAGCCTCAGCAACTTAACAAGGCCCTCAACTTAGCGAGACCCTGTCTGAAAATAAAAAATAAAAAGGGCTGGGGATGTAGCTGGATTTGATCCCCTGGGCCAAAATAAAAAAAGTTGTATAGCAACTTTTTTGTATAGCAACCTCAAATATATTGTGAAACAAATATGTTGAAATATGTCTTAAAGATACCTTAATTATCCTTTTTTTGTTAACATAATAAATTAATATGCCTTTATTTTTATAAATCACAACATTCTTTCCATTAGTGGATTTAAACAAGATCTCCTCTTAGTAATGGAAAAATGGAATTAATTACATATGTGACAATCAATCACTAGAACTGTTACACAGCAGAAAATAACTTGCTCTTGTTTTATGCTGTGACTTGCTTGTATTTCTTGAATTCTATTTTGTCTTTAGATAAAGGGAAGAAATTTCAGGAGGAAATTTAGGTCTGTGAGATATCTCAGTCATGTTTTGTATATCAAAAATTATACACTTAAACCATCCTTGAAACTCATGTTCATATCACTACTGAATACTTTATGAGATCCCAGTAACACTGTTCAATGTCTCAAGTTCATTACAAGATTTCAAAACATCTCACTTAAATCTTTTCTACAATATAAACTTGGTTTGCAACCTTTAATCCCATCCATACAATATTCCTTCAACCATATGAAGATCCAAATTCCCAACCAGTATTCTCTTCTCCACACTTAATCTGGTTCCTAAAACTTTTCCTCAAGAATCTTCAAACAGGGACTGGTTCTCACTGTGTTGCTCAGGCTGGTCTTAAACTAGGGACATAATAAAGAAGTAAATGCTGAATCCATGGCACATTTAATAAATCTACTATCTTTCTTCAACCCAAAGTAACAACCACTTTTTAAACTGCCATTAAAACAAAGACCTCAGGGCTGGAAAAGCACTTGGTTTCCACCCACGGGGCCCTGGATTTGATCTCCAGTACTCAAACAGCCAGCAAAAACGAAGAAACAGGCTTCAGAAAGCCCAAATGTAAGGATATAATGTGTCATGTGTAGTAAAATGTTATGCCTAAATGTGAACCCAACATAGAATTTAAAAATTCAGTTCACTGTAGTTACCAGAAGGCGGATGACCTGGCACTTACTTACGAACTACTAGTGCCGCAAACAGTGATATGTATATACCTTAACCTGTGAGTAGAGTTAGTTTAACTCAAGTGAGCTGAGGCTTCTAGAATATTACTCTAAAACTTCTGTAAGACCCATTATAACTGATATCATGTGAAAAAATAAGAATTAGTAATAAATGTTGAGATATCAAAACTTTTTTGTCATTTGCAGTATAAACAACTACAGTTTAAATAATCACATAGAGTTATACATAGGACAGACATTTCCAGTTACTATGTTATATGAGTTCTTTGGGTTTAGCAATCTCATATTACTTCTCACCCCTGGATGTATTTTAAATGTTCTTTTCAACATCCCTTTGAAGGATAATTCTTATGTTGTAAGTAGCCAACTTTGGGTTTTCCTGAAATGTCAAATATTTTCATTTGAAAAAAAGGATCAAAGAGATTAATTAGAAGAGTCTCAAAGATAAAATCTAGTGTACTAGGTTTCAATCATTTATCTTTCAGAACTTGTTTCTTATTTTATGGATTTAAACTGAACTTGTACCTTTTCGTTTGTTTTCAATAGTTCTAAAGATTAGGGAGAAGACATTTTATTATCACTCCCTAATAGATGACGGAGCCCAAGAAAATTGATTGATTTGTCCATAGTCCCACTATCAATAACAAAACAAAATATGTACTCTGAATCTCCCCTAAAGCCCTGCTGTAGTTCTAAGATTTGATGATTATCAGGTTCCTAAACTCCTTGAAGGAACTTCACTCCTGTCTCTCTATCTTAATTGCCTCCTGGTTCAGCTCACATCTTACCTCCCTAATGCCTCATTAAAACACTAATTTGGCTCTTTTTATGCATTATAAGTCATAGGTTTCACATTAATTCTGTGTCTAGAAAAAAAGGCACTCAATAAATATGTAGACTGCCCCACATGTTTCAATCTCTCTGAGATATGCATCTTAAATATAAAGCATTGTGATTCATTTTTTATATTTTATTGCTTCAAATGCTTCAAACTATGGGAAATCTTTGGTAAAAATAAAGACAATAAAATTTTCACAATAACTTTACACAAAGCATTGCACAACAATGTTCTTCAGTACACATGAAATAACATAGGAATGTTCAGAATCCTCAGTGAGGAAATTAGCTGTACAATATTCATAGTTCATTTTAAAACAAAATTGTTTTCATAAATATTTAAAATATTTCCTAGCTTCTTATCACATATTAACATTTGTATTTCAATCAGTATTGTTGAACTTTTGAAAGTATTTTTATTACTTAAAAATTAATAAACAGGTTTTCTTTTTTTCCTGTTGCCTACCACAGCATCAAGACCCCTCCCCCCAATTCTGCTTATTTCACATAAAACTAGAGGGAGGTAACGAAAATAAAAATCAATATGTTCTCAGTCAGACCCTCTGTGGAAAAGAGGAAAATGTTTCATGTCTATTATTACAGACATTTCTCTGGTGGTTTATTTGTGCAGTCTCAAACTCGACCAGCTTTAAGTTGATCTAAATGAGTTTTCAGCTCAGGACACAGTTCAATTAGCAGCAACTCCATCAACACCTGTACCGAGAAAGAAGGGGAAAAAGTAGAAAGGTATGTTTTTACTCCAAGGGTTTCCTCAAAATAAATATCTATGTCTTAAGAGAAAAGTCTAAGTTTAATTCTGAGATTATTCTCAGTAAACAAGTGACTCTCAAACCAAAGGAATTAATATTATATAAACTTGATTATTTTATGACTTATTAACCATGTCAAATAAATCAACAATATTTAATATTGGTAATAGTGACTGGTCAAAATTTGATTTACTGAAGTTAAGAAAACAGAGGAGTTGGGAGGGAGAGCAAGGGAGGAAGATTATCTCAGATAGGGAATAGGGGTGGGAGGGAACGGGAGGGAGAAGGGGAATAGCATGGATGGTGGAAGGAGACCCTCATCATTATACAAAATACATGTATGAAGATGTGAATTTGGTGTCAACATACTTTATATACAATCAGAGATATGATAAATTGTGGTATAAAGGTGTATTAAGAATTGTAATGCAAAAAAATAATAAGAGATCTCATGTATAATGGCATAATTTTGCGTGAACATACTTTATATACAGAGTTACGAAAAATGGTGTTGTGAATGGATAATTATGTTTGTAATGCATTCCACTATTGTCATGTACGTAAGAAATTTTTAAAAAGTTAAAAAAAAGAAAAAGAAAACAGAGGAGGCAGAAATATTGCATCAAAAGTCAGGAGAGACAGCTAGAATATAAGGCTGAGAATGCTGTAAGCACTGGGGGGCACTTTTATTCTTTTTCACCAAATGAAGAGATAGAAACAAAAATGAAGCAGAAAACATGGGTTGAGAGTTAGAAGGAAGAAGAAATAGAATGTAATGGATTAAAATCTACTCCAATATGTGAACAGAAATATAAAATCCCAGAAGTGCTTAGTTTTTCTGGTAGACTTTAATTTACTCACATATAACAGATGCTTATTGGCTCTTGTTTCTTGCAGTGCCTTGAATATTTTTATTATACCATGGCGGGCATTTTGTTGTCCAACAAGGCTCTGGAGTGTATCTGAAAAATTAAGTATTTTTTAAAAATTTTTTGCAGTGCTGGGGATTGAACCCAGGGTTTTGTGTATGCTAGGTAACTACTCTACCATTAAGCTATATGGCCAGCCCTGAAAAACTAAGTTTTGATTCTGTGTTGCTATTGATAATGTGCACAATGAATATATCACATGATACATACATAGTAAACAAAGGCACTGAAGCATTAGGAATGGTCAGTTCTCTCAAATATTTAAAAAAAAAAGTTTATTTAGAATTTTCAATATAAGGCATTTATTAAAAAAAACTACAGTTGTAATATACTGCCACTACTAGTTTAAACAATTAAAATCAATATATTTTTAATACTCTTAAAATTTTACAGTACACTTTAGCCTGACCTCTACTAAAGCACAAAATTTACTATTTGCTCTAAAACATTTCTCTAGTTAAAACTTAAGATTCTCAGTATGAATTAACAAATGACAAAAAATGGCTTTTAAAAGTACAATAATGTTTAAAAAATTGCAAATAATGTTTCCTGAGAGATATAAATAAAAAACATCTTTTGTTTGTTTTTTAAATTTTTTTTAGTCATCAATGGATCTTTATGTTTTTACTTATTTATATGTAGTGCTGAGGATTGAACCCAGTCCCTCACACATGTGAGGCAAGCACTCCGCCACTGAACTACAGCCCCAGCCTCATGAGAAGATCTTAATAGGGCTCACATTCCCTTTTTATCTCTAAGCTCTCAGGTTGAGATCCCAGGCCTCACCTGGAATGTTTTCAAGTAGCTTTTGCTGTGCTCTCTGTTTTGTTTCCTGACTTTGTGCTTTGCTTCTGATTGTGGTTGGTGGTGCCAATTTCCCATTTGGCCAAAAAGCATCCCGGAAAACACTGATGTAGTAAACCAACATCTGCTCACTGAAAATCCAGTTCACTGTGTCCCGGATTTGTCTTTTAAGAGAAAGAAGAATGTTTGCATGAAGTGTTTTAAAATTTTACACTCAGTTCTCAAAAGGCATTCGTTAATGGATAGGTTAAGATATAGTCTGATCTAAATGTTTGATGAATAAACTAGGAATTCCATCTTTAAATCCTGGCCATGAATGTTATTTTTAATTTGCATGACCACTCATTCCTGGAGTCAACATATTTATTGGTGCCCATTTGTCTTATCTTCTTATCTGTATAGATAATAATTGAGAAATTTGTTTTTTGAAGCTTATTACTAACTGTGCATAACACTATGCACTAATTTCTCCATGAAGCATTATAAACTGAAAATATAAGTTCCCTTTTAAGATGGTTAAAAGTGGACTGCAAAACCTCCTTGTGCCCCTGAAGTCCTGGAGGAGAACAAGCTTGTTCACTAGTTGTCTCTAAGAGTTACTAGGGAAGACAACACCAGGCAGGATGCTCCAACCCAGAGGAAGCATCTCACATGCTCAGAGCAAGGGAAAAGATTATCTCTTTCAAAGATATAATACCATCTAGCAAACTGCAAATTTCCATAGGAATGAAAATTGGGCAGATGTTTGACTTGCAGATATACATAAATGGTTTTTATCTGGTTACACTGGTCTTCCACCCAGCCTTATTTCAGTAGTCAATTTTAACTGGCTACAAGTCTTCTGCTGTCAGAGGCAAGTAAACAAAGTTCAGAGAGCCCAGAAGTAGTAGTGATGTTGGGAGGAGAAAGCTTCTATTGAGATGGGAAAAAGTATCATCTTAGACTATTAGTGCCAGAAAAACCTAACTTCAAATTTGATTCATGAACAATAATAAATCATAAAGCTCTTAAGGAATCTGACTTTCTAACCAGATTTTTAAGTGAATAACATGAGGGTTTCAGAAATGCTATTGAAATACATGTTTCAAGCCTAGTAGTTCTTTCCACATGGTAGTCAATCACTATTGAATGAAGGTCTAGACTCTACTGTGAGTCAAACTGCAATGAATTCTATTTGAAACTGTACATCTATATTGATTAGAACTGTGCAATTCAAATCTAGACCAAGTAAAACAATTTTGTTAATTAATTTAGTGGAACTCCTGCCTTCAGAAAGAATCTGCTGACTTTCCTGCTTACCTTCCTAAAACAATCTCTATCATGCCAGCATTGCGTTTTCTGTAGTTTTCTTTTGGGTTAATCACTGGCACTCCATGAAGAAATGAAGTAAAAACTTCAACTTACAACTTAAAATTCAGTGACCCTTACTAAAAGACATCACCTATGCATTTTTGTCAATTTAGGTCTGATTTTTCTATGAGCCAAGACCTGGAAGAAACTTCGTATGCTTCTAGTATATGAGACCACGATTGGTACAAGACAAGAGGCCTAGCCTACATTGCTGCATAATTTTATTATGTATTATTATCTGCTAAAGGCAAAAATAGCAAAGTGCCAAGTGCTCCATAAGTCTTTATCTGATAAAAGATCACTGAAATTTTTCTACAAGTCTCCCCTCTATCTTCTTGAAAATAATTGCCAAATGTATTCACCACTCACAAACTACAGCTGCTCATTTTACAATTAAGAGCCAATATCATAAAAAGGAACAAGGAAAAGTATAGATGATTTGTTGAAACTGACTAGAAAAATAAATTAGAAAATCTCAAGTACTGAGAAAAATCAGGTCATTCTGGAAATTTCTTTGATGCTTGTCAACACCAGAGTTAAGAGGTTTGCTTTAGACTGAAACGGTAAGTAAAAGGGGCCATTTTTCTGATTAAAACAAAAGCCTATGATTCTAGGTCACCTAAACAAGGCCTGAATGCAACTTAAACTACTTTTTTTAAAATCTTAGAAATAAAAGTAGTAAACTTTTGTTTATGACCACAAGGAAAACATATTCTATTTGAAAATCTGTACAAAAGAGCAACAAATTTTCTTTGTTTCCTATAAAAATTTATAACTCTGTATGGTAAAGCTCTTATGTTAACCTCACATAAATATTTAATAATAAATTAATCTTTCATATGGGAAAACCTGACAATTTCATATTAAAATGTATTTTACCATACAAAAAAAAAGTGACTTTATATTTCACATGTCTATTCTGCAGGAAGTCATAATGCTTATCTCCTGAAGAGTTTGGATATGGAATTACTATTTAAAAGATTTTTATAATAGCAGTTCCAAATTTCAGGCCCAAAGGCTCTTGAGACATAGCTGAGTGAGCAGGCACAGGCCAGGAGGCCAAGTTGGGTTTGCTGACCAGTCTGGTAATCTCATATAACTCACATGATTTCTTAGATTCTGTTTCCTCACTGATAAAATGAGGAGTTAGACTAATCTTTGAGACCCCCCTTCAGAACTGAACCTACCTAATAATTTCAATTTGACTTCTAGTGACTGCATGATTTTGCAGTTACTAAAAATTCCAATAATTTCCTAGAAACTAATATTATTGATAATGAGTTTTTAGTAACAGACTCAGGGTTTTCATAAATAAGTGGCCAAAATGTGGATCATTTTTTATGAAGTTTAGAAAGATGTAAACATATATGTAAGTATGTATACATACATATGTATGTGGATAATGTAACTTAGATTAGAATTTACATATGGCCTAGATAGACCCATATACCCCCACCATGGATAATAGATGTTAACAAGAAGGACTGACATGTTAATGCTACCTTAACTCTAAAAAAGTTAATACACAGTTTTATTTCCCTCTAAGAAAATATTTGCCACATAATGCCCATCCTACTTTCATTATGGCTTAGTGTCTAAACCTTGGTCTAATTCCTATTATATGACAGTAACTAGTCATCTTGATCAAAAAGGAGCTCTGTAGAACCCAATCTTCTGACCACTGTCAGTCAGAATACTGATACTAACTCAAGCTTTTATCATCAAATTCACCATGCTTTCTGCAAGAGAAATTCAGATATTTTCTTCCCTATCCAATTTTAGAATCATATCAGAAACATAAAGTAAGAGAAAGATACTTATAGTTAAATCATCAGGTGGGTACTATACTATACAGTACTTGGACTATTCAGTAGGGCATAGATTCAAGTGTTAATTTTGTAACACTCACTTGTTGATGGTTCTTCCAAAAGTGACCTGAACGAGAGCAATTAATGTTCTTCTCACCCATTTAAACACTAAAATATAAATCAAAGGAAAACTCATCATAGGATATCACAATTAAGACATTTTCATAGCTGTACAAAGCATAAAATCTTACCACTTAATTCAACTGTAGACCTGATACTATGCTTTCTGCAGAATTTGGATCTAGCTAACCAAACTTCTGCTCACTAAGCACCTAATGAGAAGAAACCTAAGAGTTTTTGTAGCTCTCGATGGCTTCAGAAGAGCTAGGTTAGCAGGGACAAACAGTACTTTACTTCCTGTGTTTATGAATACTGGCAACAATGCCTGTTCCTTAGCAGACAGTGTGATTTCTACTGCAGATTTCTGACTGGATAGCTGAACAAAATTTGCTAATACATGGCTCTGAATGAGAAACATCTGTAGTAAAATGTTGACAAATATTGTGAAATATTAATGAAGTGACAGTTCGAACTGCTCGCATTTGAGTAGTAGTTTGTATATTGTGTATTTTATATATTTTACGTGTTTGGGGGAAGAATCGTGAACTGTAAAGAGTGAGGATCCTGAATGGGATGGGGATTCTGCAATCTCCTGTGCTGCCTCTGAGAGCAGCTGAGTATATATCCCCTTTTCTGAACCTTCTGAACCTCATTTTTTCCATCTAAAGAAGGAAAGAATTAGTGTTCACTTTTTTACTTGCTCTGAGGTGTTTTTTTTTTTTTGTATGTGAAGGGCCTAAACTTTTCTTATTAACTTAGAGATATATTTTATAGGTGAAGAAAAATGTTATGAGAATATATTACACCCACCAATATAAACTACATTTTTCATTTGTATGTTTACCTCCAGCTACTGTGATGTTTGGCTACTGACACATGAGGAAATGAGAAATTCAGACTTGGCTATAATGAAGCCACAAGTACAGGCCTCCTGTACCCAGCAAGAAAACCTAAAGGACTAAATCACACATGCCTTTGCACAAGGGCAGCCACACGAGTAAATACAGACCTGCCTCTAGACTAAAACATTCTGAAGTCCTTTCAAATTTTTTTTGAATGGCTCTAAATGTCCAGTTAAAGTAGTATTAATCCTCTAGGAAAAAGTCAAGTATGAGAGTCAGAACCAGGTCTCAGAAATGCCTTAAGCTTCTTCATGGAATTTGCTGGAAGGCTACCAAGCATGTAGACTTGTTCAAGTTAGGGTGGCATTCAGGCTGGGATGAGCATTTCTGTCAGAGATGATAACTTCAGGCTGCCTTTCTAGGGCAGAAAAGAGGTAGCTCTACCCAGAGGGTGTGAGCACAGTGCAGCTCTAGAAGGAATGCCTGACTGCAGAGTGGCTATAGAAAAGGCTGTATTACTGGCTCCTTTTTGTATACTGAACAAGAGCAGGAACCAAAACTGGTTTTGCTAAATATTCTCTCTCATCACTGATATTCTCTTTGTCTACTATTATTTCTTATCCTTCTCCAGTCCCCAACCACCCCCATAACAAAACAGTCCATGTCTCCTTTCAAGGTTTCATTTGTTCAAAGCTACAGAGGCAGCTGCAGCAGCACAAGGATTTTGCTGATGGCAAATATATCACACCTCATTATAAAGGATGTTCTATTTATTCCCCTCTGAAATGTCACTAGCAAAACCAAATGTACTTCTGAGCAGGCATTTGATGGAGAGTGTGCAGGATACAAAGAGCATTTTGAGCCCTACTAATCTCTCTGCGCCTATCAAAAAGAACACACCAACAATGGCTTATATAGTGTGTCCTCATTTTTATACCCACAATGGGAAACTGGGAGGATTCATGACTTCATATGCAGATTTCAATGAGGGAGAGTTAGACTTTAGATTGAGCACTATTTTTTTTCTATACTGAATCAAGTTAAACATCAGTGTACATCTCTTTTTCTATAGATACATTATGATAAACATCAATGTAACCTTAAAAGTATCTAAAATATGGAAAGACTATAGACAGTTTATTTGAAGGAATTTTTAATGCCCAAATGATATTCTATCTCATGGATATTTCTCTTTTTAAAAAATATATTTTTAATTGAAGATGGACACAATACCTTTATTTTATTTATTTATTTTTAGGTGATGCTGAGGATTGAACCCAGTGCCTCTCGTGTGCTGAACAAGCACTCTACCACCGAGCCACAACCCCTGCCCTGGATATTTCTTAAGTAACTACCTTGTCCATCCCCCACCTCTAAAGTTATCTTAGTTCTAATTTTTGTTAATTAAATTATGCTAAAATGAACCTCTTTACATATAAATCTCTGCCTTTAATGTAGAAATAAATTTCATCTATTGCTTAATGTAAATTACATTTTTGGATTCCTGTTAGTGTAAATTCACTGAAGGCAGAATCTCTACATTTTTGTTTCTCTAAATGCACTCAAAGGGAGAGTGATTAAAATTATATATCTTCTTAGCTTAGACTTAGGAGAAGAAAAAGTCCAATGATCAAAGATAATTCTGGCACTTAAAATTTTCTTGCCTATTTACTCATTAGTGCATGCATCTGGGCATTTTTACTGATTATCTATTATGGATAAGACATTGTAGATGCTAAGGATTAAAAGACACATGATGTATTCAAATTTATAACAGAGCTTTTTCATTTGCTAAGAATTTTTAAGTGACATGTTTAGGAACAAATGTAGGACCAACTTTGCTCCCAGGGAAAAGATGCTAATCTGAGTATATAGAGCCCTTGTGTCTTCTAAGTATATCTCCTTCAGAATCACTAGGGTGGGATTTCTCAGCCTCAGCATTAGTCATTATGGACAGGCTAACTCTGTTGGGGGTGCTGTCCTGTGCACTGTAGGATATTCAGGAACATCCCTGACCTCTACACACCAGACGCCAGCAGTACTCCCCACCATAAGTTGTGACAACCAAAAATGTCTCCAGACATCACCAAATGTCTCCACTCCCTACATTGAGAATTACTGCTCTAAAGGAAGAAAGGAGGCCAAAAAATAGGTCCAAAAAATAGGTCCCTGGCCACATGCTATACTAGCATCAAAACTGCACCTTTAGCCAAGATTGTGTATTATTCTTCCATGCAAAATAGTTTTTGTATAATTTTTAGTAATATGGCAATAAATACATGAATATAAATACATATCAATCGTACTTCAGAAATAAGGAGACATTAAATTAGTCCCACTTAATCAGTAAATAATACTAAATAATAACAAAGAGGCTTACTTCCTCGAAGTTCAAAAATCTCCCCAATTAACATGAAACATGGTTCAGCCAAGGAATCTTTCTTCCCATCCACATCATCACCATAATCTGACAGGTCACTGTCCTCCTCCGTCTCCTAGGGGTACAGCAAAGCCACAGGAAGCAAGTCACTTATCCAAGAAAATTACAGAGTTGTTGTTGTTCTTCAAATATAAATTCCAAACTATTTGCTCATGTTTTAGCTTCATAAAATCCCTCAACTTTTACACAAAAATCTATCTATTTTTCAATGTGGAGGACAAAAATCTGTCTGACCTCAGGGAAAAGTAAGATTCCAAAGCCTAATTCAAAGTTTAAAATAAGCTAATTAAAAAAACATTCAATGGTATTAATAATCAGTGCATAGGCAATTTAGAGTTTTCTAAAAATAAAACCATTTTGAGTTTTAAAAGTAAAGTTTAACAAATAATTTTACATTCACTGCTTTTTTTAAAATACGTGAATTTTAAAGTAATGCAGTTATTTTTTAAAGCTCTGCTTCAAGCTTTTATTCTGTACTTCAGCTATTCTCATTTTCTGATCTGCATGTCAGCAAGTTTCAGTTCAAAATTTCTTATGTCAGGCACCAGGCTAGTGAAAATGAATGCAATGTGGATCCAGACTTTTCTTGGCCAACAGCCACCTGGAGAGACTGATACATACACAGGCAGCTATTTTCACCAGATTGGATGAAGTATTATTACAGACATTCAAACACCAGCCAGTGTGAGGACAGCCGAGGAAGTCATTCTTGTCTGCACGGAGGAAAAAGCCCAAGTCGTGGAACCAAGCAGCCGACAGGACTTTGGACCACATCAGGAGAACAGAGGAAAAGACTGAGGAGAATTTCTGGAAGAAGGAGGAGTTCTCTAAAAACAGCTTGGCAGAATTCCAGCAACATCGAATGCTTCAAAGATGTGGGAGGAAGGTGAACAGTAGAGGAAGCTACTGACCCCTTCAGATAGTACCTTCAGAGTGCTTAAGCCATTCTAAGAGGTTCTGGCATAAAAGGGAGGTAACGGAGGTAAACTAGCCAAGTCTAGACAGATGAAGGAAAGAGGTGGGACAGTAGCTGGGGAGGGAGGCAGGTCCATAGACCTGAACAGAGGTGTGGATATGTTCTATGGGACACATAGGGATCTCCTGGCTCACAAGGTGGTAAAGCCATGTGCACATTTTCATGGCCAGTTCCTCTATGCAAACCCATTAAGCCAATCCTGGTGAAGAGGCATGGCATTTGCCAATGGACTAAGAAGCAGCAAAATTTCAGAGATGGTTTTATGCAATTTGCTACAGAGTCAAACAAGGGGCCTCAGTGACCTACACATGAGTCAAGAGCCTGACATCTAGAATATGAGACTGAACATGTCTACAGTTTCTTTCTATTCATTCCATTACTCATACATATTGCTGACATATTCATCTTGCTTCAAAATATTCCACAGCTCTCTATTTCCTGGAGATAGTTTAAACTCCTTAGCCTGACATGAACCCTGCCTTCTCTTCCATTAGAGCACCACAGAAACCCTCCAGTCTAGTCCAATGACCTACTGACCATCCCACAAACACATCCTTCCTCTGAACCTTCAGTACTGGTCCAACTACTCCATAATGACGGTCTTCAATCTGCTTCCCCATCCCCAGGGATTGTCTCCTATGGAACTTCTCATCCACAGTTCACTTATTCACCTTGTTTAGTAATCATTTTATTTATGCATCTTAACTTATCCAGGTGATTAATAGGGGAAGACAAGCAGATGACCCAAAATATAACAGAGATAATAACTGAAGATGGACGCATTTGTTCTTTCCCTTCCTTAGTAATATGCATTTGCTAAGATTCTGTTACTTCAAACAGCCTTCAAAAAAATATCTACTTAAACATGCTACAAAAGTGGTAGCCTTTGGAGCACTCACCTCCTGATGGGAGAAGAAGTCACGGGGAAGTTTTTCCAAAAATGAGGATAATGAAAAAGAGTTTTTTTTCCCCTGCACATCAATGACCTTGAGGTAGTCAGGAGAAGGGCTCAAAAAGGCATAAAGTGCTTCGCTCTGACACAGTCTTTCATCTGAAAGTAGCTTCTGCAGAAGAAAGAGGATTAATTACTCTAGATAAGAAATGATCTGTGCTGCTGGGAGCTACTACAAGTAAGGCAAACACATACTCTGCAGAAGACTGGCATGGATATGTGCAGTAGCAACTCAGACATAGGAAAGGAAATTAAAAGTGAGGGACACTTAGGTTAAAATTGATTGTGTCATGAATTTACTTTCATCATAATTCTGAACTTAACCCCTTCTCTCCACAATGAACTATATATAAGATCTATTCTCAGTGATCTTAATAGCAAATAATCCTCACCAGGGTGAATTCCCTAATCACTGCCTGTAGGAAATACTGTGCAGATGATGGAACTCACTCAACTCTGTACCACTTTGAGCAACAAAAAATTTCTACTTTACAAACAACTCATAGATCTCAGGGGCCACTGCCTTTGAAAGATAACATTCACTCATCTGTGTTTGGGTAACTTAAATGTTTGCAAATTATTCATGAATACCATTACACAACCTTTCATGGCTATGTTCAGACTTTGTACGTCTGCTGAAAAAGGAACTTCTGAATTCCATGGTGGCCCTGCCTGCCAGCAACAGTTTCATTTCACTGTGATCCACCACCTTTGAAACAATGCTTGTTTACATAATTACATAACTGTTTTTATTGGACCTTAAGCTGGAAATTATCTAGAGTTCTGAACGTACATATCTGACCTAGGGGAGATGAGGGCAGAACATAAATTGAGTATGTTTATGTACAAATACGATAAGACAGTAAGATCATCAATGTAATGACAAAAATGTGTCTATCATTCAAAGTATAGAATTTAAGAGTGAATAAGCCAATGAACTATTACCATTTATGATGGTCACTACCAGAGGAGATGGAACACTGTGGAGCAAAGTATGCTTCTGATAACAGCAACTGGGACAGTGATGAGGTTTTTTTAATCTCAGAGGGATTAGTCCATGAGGCTTACAATCTGTTCAGATGGCAAATGACCTGACACATCCTATAAATCCACCTAGAATAACCACTTCTGAGAGGGCTCAATATTATGAAACTGGGGTCAAGGGAAAAACACCCCATCACCACCAAAAAATAAATGAATAATTAAAACTGCAATGAACCACCAGCTAAGAAGTAAAAGACAGAAAATAAGTGTTAATGAGGATGTGAAGCAATGAGAACCCTTACATGTTACTGGTGAGTCTACACTCACATTGAAAAATTACAATCCTTAGGTATTAACATATATTCTCCAAACAACATGCACTAGAAAAAGCCACCCTGTAAAAGCCTCAAATTCTAAATACCCATCAACAATAGAACAGATAGAGTGTAGTGTGTTCACACAAAGAAAAATCTATGCAGTAATGAAAATGATCTACAACTAAAACAACACTTGCATGAATCTCATGAATATAATGTTGAATGAAAAAGACACAAAGGAATGTGCACTGTATATTTTCACTTACATCAAGTTCAAAAATAATGATAACTATTGCTTAAAGTCAGGACAGTAGTAAGTTTCCTTTGGTGGGGATAAGCAATGCAAAAAAAGCTGGCAGCTCCTGACAGTAAGTTTGGCACAGCTGGTGAGAACAAAAATCAAACTAGCAAGCTTTCAGGACAATGATTACTTAACTCCAAATAACTCATTTTCCTTTTCATATCTAAAACTTTTCACTTGCTTACCTGTAAAAACTTATTTAATTGATTCTTTGACTTTTCCATAAACTTGTGATCTATAGATTTGAAAGGCAGCTTGCTAAGAGAAGGCAACTGGACTTTTTTAATAGAAGGGACACACTGTAGGAGAAAAATTAAATGTTAGTGTTTTAAAATTATATCTTAACCTTTTAAAAGATTTAGATAATTAGAACAAAACAAATATCTTCCTCCTATACTTGTGCCTCTGAGATTTAAGATCTTGAAAATCTATCCACTGTAACTGGACTTAAAGTATCTGGACGAATAGTGCATTTGATGGAAAAAGTTAAAGCTCATCCCCAGAGCTAGAAATACCTAGAAGACATGAAATCATGAAGCTAGGCTGATAATATGGAGTTGTAATAACATGCACAGTAGCACGTTATGCTTGGTATGAAAACCTGGTTCACAAAAATTTTCCTACTAGAGCAGTATTTCTAACATGCTTGTAAACAAAGTGACCCAAGTTTAAAAAAAAGGGGGTGGGGGAAAAAGCAAAGTTGGGTTGTAGTTTTATTATGCCCTGCAATGTCAAACTGTAGAAAGTAAATACATTAATCATAATAAGATATATTAATAATTAATAACAATAGATTGCCTGTTATGGATTAAGTCATACATTCTATCAGACACTGTGCTAGAAATGTGGAATGTTATTTCATCCTTATAACAGTTCTATGAAATTTTAGGGAAATGAAACAGACAGTGAGAGCTGGAAGGGAAGAATAAAATCACCAGGACCCAAAAAGTTACTTCCTGTCACAGCTGCCAACAGAAAAAATTCTCACAACAGGAAATCTTGCAAGGTAAGAAATGGCAAGATTAAAGAAGAGCCCAGCCATCAGTCCACAAATGAGGAAAGATGATGAGACAAAAGGATACATACAGCATTTTCAAAATTTGTTTCTTGTAATGCTTTAGTGTAATTATTTTTTGTTTCCTAAATACATTTAATTTTATGAGTACATTTTATTTCAAAATTGCCCCTAAATGCCTTTCCTCCTTCCATTTTTATCAGCAACTAGCTTGATACTAAACTTTGGTTTCACAAAGGTTTGCCACAGGGCAAACAATGCAATTTTCTGTAGTATCAATTTTACTCAACAATTTTGGAAAGAATTTATTCTTACATTCAGATAAATATTTTGCTTTCTAGATTGCTGGAGTGACCATAGTCAATTTGAGAAATGCTGTAATACGTATGGCATTTAGTTTGGGATATCATCCTTTAAAAAGCAGTTGAAGAAGTTTAATATTCAGAAGCTAGTGATTAAGAGAGTTTTAAAAAAATCACCTTAGGAGACAAGGTTAAAGGAAACAGACATATTTCATTTGCAAAAGAGGAGTCTAAGAGGTGACCACAAGAGTTTTTCCAGTTGTAGTTAATTTTGTGCAAGACAAAAATAGACTTGAATTAAAGTAGAAATGACTGAAGAGCTTTTCATTGCTGGGGAAACAGCAATTACCTCCAGTAGGAAGAGAGTTAGAGAAGATTCAAGGCCTGAGGAAAAGTAGGAGAATAATAAACTGAAAGCAAGATGATCTCAATTTGCTCACTATGAACATGTCTAATGACAGACAAGTCAGTTAATTCTGGAATCAGATATAAAATTATCAAATATAAAAATTGACCTAGATTAGTGGCATGCAAACATTTTTGACTAAAACCCATAGTAGGAAATGCATGCTACATTGCAACAATAAGGGGCTGGTGTTGTGGCTCAGTGGTAGACTGCTTGCCTAGCATATATGAGGCACTGGATCCAATTCTCAGCATCACATATAAATAAATAAAATAAAGGCCCATTGGCAACTAAAAGATATTAAAAAAAAAAACAAAAACAAACTAGCATTGCTTTAAAAAAATACACTTGTCCTTGGGCTGGGGTTGTAGCTCAGTGGTAGAGCACTTGCGTTGCATGCATGAGGCCCTGGGTTCAATTCTCAGCACCACATAAAAATAAATAAATAAAAATAAATATATTGTGTCCACCTACAACTAAAAAATAAAAAATACACACATCCATATGTGAATCTTATACACACATATAAAACAAAAGTGAAACAGTGGTCATTACTGCGACTATTATTATTAATAAAACACAATAATGCCTAATATATGCCACACGTTCTTCTAAATGCTCTGTATACATTTATTCCCTTAGTTCTCACAATAACCCTGTGAGGTAGGTGAACAGGAACTATTAATATTTCTATTTCACTGATGAGAAGAGTATAAAAAGATTGAGTGATGAACCCCAGGCCACACTTCTTAAGTCTCTTGGTGTAAAGCTAGGATTCAGAGTCGAGCAGTCTGGCTCTGGAGGCTGTGCCTCTGTTAGTAAATGTGAGGGCAGCCAATATACTTTACTCTCCTGCTATTGCTGTAACTCATAATTGGTTTCACTACTCATTAAAGGGTCACAACTGGCAGCTTCAACACCACTGGCCCTATGTGATTCCTGGTCACTTGTAGCTCTGAGGCTCTATGGCAATTTACAATGAAAATCAGACAACTGTCTTGAAGGATCAGACTAGAGTTGGACTTATGAGTAATTTCCAAATGTCAAGCTGAAAATGTCACTGTGCCAGTATCAACAGCAAAGAGAAAGACTAATCAGTTTTCTTAATGTGTGAAAACTAGAATGAGCTCTTAAATCTCTTTGTGCTCAGTAATGCTAGAATCTTGCATTCCTGAGTATTCATACCTCACTGAGTTTCCGGTGTAAATTCTGAAACTCACTGAGCCTTCTTGGGACAGTCCAGTTTTTAGTTTCAACTCCTCCAACTTCTTGTAGGCTTACTGTGACAAAGTAACAAGGCATTTGCTCACCATTCTCTTCTGTAACCTTGAAAAAAAAAGTCAAAATCAACAACCTAAAGCAAGGTGAGAGGATGTAGTAGGAAGGTTTTAAAATGTCCTCTGAGACCTCCCTCTCCCTGGTGTGCCCTGCATAATGCCTGGGTCTGTGAACATGATGGATTGTATTCTGACAATTAGGTTATGCAATATGGCACAAATCTTCAGACAGAAGCTATCTGGGTGGTTCTAACCTAATCATATGAGCCCTTTTAAAAGCAGAGAGTTTTTTTCTGGCAAATAACAGAAAAGGAAGTCAGAAAGTCTGGAAGTCCAAGAAGGAGGCCAGAAAGGAAATAGACCTCTGATCTTCAACCACAAGGAACTGAATTCTGCAAATAAACCTGAAAATCTTGGACACTTTCTTTTTTCTTTTTTTTTTTTTTTTTACCCCCAGAGGTCCCAGATAAGGACTCAGTCTGGCCAATGCCTTGACTTCAGCCTTGTGATACAATGGACAAAGAACTATCCATACTGTACCTATTCCTGACATACAGAAGTGTGAGGTGATAAAGGGTGCTGTTTTAAGCTAAGAAATCTATTACACAGCAAAATAAAACATATACAGTAGGCTTAACCTCTTAAGTGTACTTCCCTGAAAAAACATTCATAGCAAGCAAAGAGTTATCAGATAGTGAGAGCCTCTTTCAGGGAAGGCTTGAGGGCCTCCTCAGTTCATATCAGGACTCAATAACCCATGATTGTTGTTTTTGTGAAATTTTACATTGTGAAATCTTACAACTTAATTCTCACACACATGTATACATGCCTGCCATCATAATTCAGAATAGGCCACTATTATTTTTAACCCAAATAGATAAGAAAATACATTGAACATTTGTCTAAATTAGTATCAAAAACTGAATTAGAGAAAAGGAATCAATAAGAAAGGCAAAAGAAAGAGATGCAAAGTTTACTGAAAAAACCCACTCTGCCCTGTGAGGTAGGGAAACTGTCCCCCCACCCGTATGGACGGGAAAGTAGAGGCAAAGACAGGGTTATGGACTTTCCTAGGACCACACATCTAATGAATGGGTCCCCCAGGATCAGAAGTCAACAGTCTGGCTCCATGTAAATGCATCTTCCACACATTTGTATGTGAGATTGCTTTGTGACTGCTGGCTGTCAGGTGACTCCGCTGTTTCCATTTCCCTTATCTTGTCAGTGACAAGGACCACAGCAAACCCCAGTGTAATGGCTGATTACCAGGGCAAAGTACCTTTGGGGATTTCCATTTCATCCCTCCCTCCTTCCCTCCCTGAATATCTGACATACTGGAAATATACAGCTCTAAGCAATGCTGAGGTGACAAAATTTGTGTTCTTTCCCTTCAACAGGTTTCCTCTACTACCCTTTGACATTATGTACCCTTGAGCCCATCACGTTTCTAGATTTCCCCCCAAATAATAACTTCATCTGCAATTATCAACTAATATATTTTTCATATGGTATTCCAAGGCCTTCCCTGACCTCTAAAAAGGTATACTGTCCTATGGCTGCGCTAATGGGAGTGCCAACAAGTGCCAAAGGGCATTTGGTTAAACTCTTTCAGGGAAGCTCTTGGAAAACTGCTTTGTTTTATCATCTATCTAGAAGTGAACTTAAGATTGTGAATTTTAAGCCCTCCCCCAGCAGGAGTGTCAAGTCACTCATATGATAGCAGAGAAGAACAAAGACAGCCATTTGAAACAATGACAAAGCAAAACAATAACACTACCTTCTCAGGATATTGCTATCTGTACACAGTAGACATGATTTTTGTCTCCAGGTTTCCACCTGAGTTACAGTGGGAGTTGTCATGCCTATAAGCATCTTTCCTCCGAAGTGAAATTAGAGTCTAGTTTATGTAACTGCACTCTGTTATCCCATATCTCTCAAAGAACAGTCAGGTAATTAAAAGGGAAAACATTCATTAATAAAGAACTTAGAATGTCTGAGGTTTAAGCAATTCAAGTCAGCAAGATGGAACAATCAGATGTACTTAAATTTTTAAAACTCTTAAGTTTCAAAAAGTACTTTCCATTTTATTTCAATCATCATCGGAAAAATAAACTGGTCACTCAGGGGCATTACATGCTCTGATAGCAAAGTTGCTTGCAATTCTAGTGAACAAGAGCAACTTTTCATACAAAGCAGGGTAAGATCAGATCTGTATCAAGCAGCCTGTGATAGTTACTAACTCCAGGCAAAACTGAGTGAAAATATTGAGGGAAGGAAGACAGCAGACAAATATGGTCTAAATGAACGAGTAGAGATTTTCTAGCATCAGTTTTAATTCTCAAGAACAAAATTTTGCCTTGTAAAGTCAAACTTTAAAATAAATATCGGGCAAAAGTAGTGAAGTCTACCTCTCCACTGGTGATGGATGCTTTCCACAGGCCAAGGTTCTCACACCACCAGTCTGTTCTCGCCATGTGCAGTTGAAGGTCTGTGCGTTCTTTCTCTATTAGAATTATTTCATCCTTCAACTTGGAAACAATCTGCCATAGGAAAACATCCTGAGAGTTACGAAAGCACTTAAAAAGCTATGCAATTCAGCAAAGTGTCAGGATACAAAATTGACACACAAAAACCAGGTGTGTGTTTTATATACTAACAATAAACAATCAAAAAAGGAAATTAAGAAAACAATTCCATTTACAATAGCAGCAAAAATAATAAAATACTGATGAATTAACCAAGGAAGTGAAAGATGAAAACTATAAAACACTGATAAGAAAATTAAAGACAACAAATATTTACAAAGACATCTCAAGTGCATGAATTATAAGACTTAATATTGTTAAGATGTCAATACTATCAAGAGCAATCTACACATTCAATGCAATCCCTATCATTATTTCTATGAATTTTTTTTTTGTAGAAATAGAAGCATCCCATCCTAAAATTCAGGGAGCCCCAAATAGTCAAAATAATTTTGGAAAAGAACAAAGTTGGAAGATTCACACTTTCTGATTTTAAAACAACGCAGGACTGGCATAAAGACAGACCCAAGGACCAATGAAATATAAAAGGGAACCCCAAAGGAAACACTCCCCTATACAGTCAAATGATTTTCAACAAGAGTGCTGAGACTATTCAATTGGGGGAAAGATGCAGTTTTTTCAACAAATGGTGCTAGAAAAATGGATATCCATGTGTAAAAGATGAAATTGGATCCTTATCACATAAAACCTGAAGATGGATCAAAGACAGTAGCTTAAGTAGTATAGAATTATAAAAACAAAATAAAGTATAGGGGGAAAGTATCATAATACTAGATTTGGCTATAACTTTTGGGCTATGATACTAAAAGCATACTCAACAACAACAATAAAAAAAAATAGACAACTTGGACTTCCTCAAAATTAAAAACATCTGTGAATCAAAGAACACTACCAACACAGTAAAACGGCAAACTATAGAATGGGAGAAAATATTTATAAATCATACATCTGATTAAGCTTTAACATCTAGAATACAAAAGGAAATACCTAAAACTCAAAGATAGCAAAAAACAACCCCCCCAAAAAAAAAACCCCAATTAAATAAATAAATAAAAACAATTACAAAATGGGCAAAGGATTTGTATAGACATTGCTCCAAAGACGATTATGCAAATGGTTAACAGACACATGAAAACATGCTCAACATTACTAATTAGTAGGAAAATGCAAATCAAAAGCACAATGAGGGCTGGGGTCGTGGCTCAGTGGTAGAGCGCTTGTCTAGCATGTGTAAGGCACTGGATTTGATCCTTAGCATTGCATAAAAATAAATAAATAAAATAAAAGGTATTGTTTCCATCCACCAAAAAAAATTCAATTTCTCACTCATGAGGAGGAAGAAAAAGAGGAGGAACAGAAAGAATAAGATAACAAGTATTTGGAGGACATGGAAAGACTAGAACCCTTGCATACTGTAAAATGGTGCAGATGCTATAGAAAATAGTATGATGGTTCCTCAAAAAATTAAAAACAGAATTATTAGACCCAGAAATTCCTCTTCTAGGTATACCCCCAAAGAAATGGAAACAGAATCTCTTAAGAGATATTTATATATTCATGTCTATAACATCATTATTCACAATAGCAAAAAGGTGAAAGTAAGCCACTGTTTATTGGTGGATGAATGGATTAACAAAACAAAATGTGGCATTCACCTGCAATGAACTTAAAAATGAATAAAATTCTGACCTATGCTACAGGATAGAAGAACCTTAAAGGCATCATGCCAAGTAAAATAAGCCAGTCATAAAGGATAAATACAGTATGATTCCAGTCATCTGAGGTACATAGAATAGTTCAATTCATGGAGACAGAAAGTAGAATGGTGGTCCCCAGGGGCTGGGAGAGGAAGAAATTGGAGTTATTCTTTAAGGGATACAGAGTTTAAGTTTCTCACAATGAAACAAATTCTGCAGATGGATGGCGGTGATGGCTGTAAAACAACATGAATGTCCTTAATGCCACTGAAATGCACACTTAAAAATGGCTTAAGTAGTAAGGTCTGTCATATATTTTTACCACAACTTTAAAATATAAATATATTTAAAAAATTTTTATGCTTGCCATCATCTTGGATCTCTTTTATGAGAAAACCTACAGGGTTATGTAACTCTGCAGTTTAAGGACTGCAGCTTTGCCTCCATAGGAACTCTCATGAATATGCAGTGTCTCCCAGGTTTCTTTCCTTCCTCAGAAGGCCTAAAGGAAAGCCCTCCCGACTGTGCCCTTTTATCACCAAAAAGGGCTGTGACTACTTCTTAGACAGCACTTCTGCTGGATGAGGGAAGGTGTCAGGCTTTGTTCCACAGTGACTAGCACAGCATTATGCATTTACTCATCATTTCCATTACTGAGATTCTTCCTCGTTAGTGATATACTCCCAATATTGACCTAGAATTGGAAAGTTTGCTCCAGTCTCACAAAATTTCTCTAGAGAAATAAAACAAAATAAAATCTGGGCACTGGATTTCAGAAAATCAAGCTAAAAGGCCAAGTGGACATCCAGTAGCCAGTGACACTGTTAGTGCAGAGATTCGAGAAAAGAGGAGTGGTCAGCAAACTCCTGACTTTCTTTCTTGAGGGAAAGAAGACTATACCACTATTATATGCATAGGGAAATGGTCTCATTCATAATTAGACAGTTAATCCACAAAAGTCTTTCTAGCACAAGATTTTTGTGGGGTGTGTGTGTTCATTGCTAGGTTACTAAAACGTTTTCAATATCAACCTTAAGCTTTAAAAAGTCAATTATCAGATATTTTATTTTTTACCAATGTGAATGAAGGACATAGAAGGAACACAATGTGTCCTTCTGGGGAAAAGTACCAATTGCCTTACATCCATGCAGCCCTCTATGCCCAGCACAAAACTGCTGGAAAGCAAAGTGCTCCCTGAAGCAGCCTGTGGACAATTGGATTTAACAGGAAATGTGGACTATCTTTGCTATGATCATAAGATTAGTGTTCAAATTAACCCATAATAACAGTGAATCGCTCCAATCTCTTGAGAATTCCTTCATGTAATTACAGCTCAGAATGTTTACTCCATGATTATTAGAGATTCATGTAAGAATAGCTAAAGAATAACTTTGAATGAAATGATGAACCAAACAGAAAATAATGAAGATTTTCTAGTTCATCTTTCATACTGCTCCCTCAAAATACATTTTAATTTATAATGAGATGAATCCAGAATAAGAAAGACAACTGTTCTTAAAGAACACACCATATTGCAGATACTGATCATTTACCGTGTCAGCTAATTCTACTTATTATCTCAAAGATGTTTCTATCAGTGGGAAAACTGCAGGGCTTTACAAGTTCTATATGTACCAACTGGGGGGAATGATTCTATTTAAGGGGGGAAATAAACCTCTCTTATAACAACCCAGGAAAGCTGAATTTTTTTTTTCTCAGAAAATCTTTAATGATTACTAAAGTGTCTTTCATACTAAACTTTCTTTTGCCTGATAAAATTTATTTTCACTACTTGGGATTAAACCTATGGACACTCTATCACTGAGCTATATCCCCAGCCCATTTTATATTTTATTTTGAAACAAGGTCTTGCTAAATTGCCTAGGCTAGCTTAAAACCTGTGATACTCCTGCCTCAGCCTCCTGAGGAATTATAGGTGTGAGCCACTACACTTGACTCCCATATAATTTTTAAAAAATCATTACTAACAGAGTTTATACACCTTTGCAGAACTTTCTTTTTGTTTTTTTTTTTCTTCTTTTTTAAGGAAAACTCACTGGTTTAACTAGATAATAGACAAATAGATATTTTGATTATATAGATTGTGAATAGGCACAGAACACATTGTTTCCTTACATTTTATTTCAGGAATATTCTCTTATTACAAAAGCATTTGAATCTCCACAAAAGAAGTACTAAGTACTAAAGAAGTGCTAAAGAAGAAAACCCAAAGTGATCCACTTAAATTGTTTTATTCAAAGTTGCTCTGTTGGCCAGTTTGAAACCCTCACACACACATTCACGAACTGCCAGAGGAGACCCATTTGGCTGACCAAAGAACATAAGCCATATCCTGTGAGAAAAAAACTCCTTGTTAGACTCCAAAGAGGCATAAAGACAAAGCAAAAAGCTGCAACACAGCTTAGTCTGAGAAATGCCAACTAGCAAAATACTATTTACATTTTTAAACTTTCAAATTTTCTTGCTTTTAGAAAAGCAACTTATTTGTCTTCACAATTCTGTGAGATTTTCTATTCTTGTGTCAGTAGGAAAAAAAAATTTTTCCCCCAAAATTTGTCCTTGAGTATTTAACTTACTTCCAGAAATGACTTCAGCACAAGAGAAAGCTTAAGCCTTTTCCCCCCAAAGGTACTGTTGGCAAAGCAGAATCAACTGTAAGCAACTGGTCACAGCAGATGACTCAGAAAAAACTCCAAATCAGAAAAGACTAAAAACAAATGCTTTTCTAATTCTATCCTAGAAGCAAAACCAAAATAATACAAACAAAAATGGAATTTGCTCATAGTTAAAATTCTTTTTTAAAGAAATTGACACTTTTCAACATAGATTGAAAACTAATACTTATCAAATTAAACAAATAGAAACTCAGAGACAATCTTGAAAGCAAAAAAGAGTTACCTTCTTGTCAGGTTTTGGTGCACTTTGAATAGAATTTAGAGCTTGCCTTTTATATTCAAGTTTCTCATTTAGTTCTCGGAGTTTGTTGACAGCAAAACTGGTATGTTCATTAATCCCACTGGCACCTTCATCTAAAGGTTCCTCACTAGCCTCATTTTCCAGGCCCTGGAGGAAAAGCCACACATCACCATGTCTTATGATGATAAGAATAAATAAATACACCTTAGCAATTATTATCTTTTATGCAGATGTTATATCATCACAGGACACGATTCCAAAGTACTAGATTCCAATAAAGGAAAAAATACTTAAACAGAATGCTTAGAAGCAGAGTGTTTTTCTTTTTCCAACAACGAGAAAAATTGAAGTAATTGGTATTCAGAATTGTGTTGAAAAGGGAAATATTTAATAACCTGAAGAAGGTGGGAGAGTAGGGTTGCATGGTGTTATTCTCTAAATGGTACATCCAAGGAAATCTGCATAGAACAAGGGAAGGCAACTGAGTTATCATCCCAACTTGATCTGAAAAATCTATACCTAATCTTTGACAGAGATCTTGCTTCTTTCCTAACAATATTATGAGAAACTAACGTAAGTCACTTTAAAATAAAATTTCCAAATTCCCACTAGTAAACACATTTTCAGTAAGTACTTTGTTCAGCCCTTCTCTTGAAGACATATTTTGTAAATTAATAGGCAGATAATTTTACCAGCAAAGTAGCATTTGAAAATGACCTAAGTATCATAAAGAACTACGCAACTTGGAAAAATCTGAATAGATTACCAAATAGCACAGGAATTAGATTTCAGAATAACCAACAGCACACAGAGCACTGAATGGAGCTGCTGAGAATTATCTTCTGGCTTGTTCACTCTTTAACTTTCTTCCAGACTTTCTTCTAATTTTTACATACGTACATTCATTCATTCACTATTTATTTTATTTATTTATTGGTACTAGGGACTGAGCCGTGGGTGTTTACCACTTAGCTATATCCACAGCTCTTTTTATTTTATTGTTTTTATTTTTAGAGACAGGGTCTTGCTATGTTGCTAAGGGTCTCACTAAGTTGCTGAGGTTGGCTTTGAATTTGTGATCCTTCTGCCTCAAGATTGCAGATATGCACCATCGCACCAGGCCTAATTTTTATTAACTGTAACAAACATAAAGTTAGATTTTTTTTCCAAAGAAAAAAATAATAGTACTGGTAGTTCTAGAAAAACAAGATGTTTTCATTTTTATTCTTTCTACTCATTGTTTTAAATATATGCATTATTATGTAATCTATACCTTGTACTCATTAAAGTGGGTATTCTACCCTTTTCAAAAAATATAAAGTAGTATATTTTAAGGCTATATTAGTCTTCAAAATTATAATTTTTTTAGCTTCATTGTATTCTACTGTACTGACAATTTATGGAGGTGTATTTCTATTGTTGTTCCTGCTGTGAGTCAACTCTTCTTTTTTTTTTCTTTCATTATCTCACTGCCTCAGATGTACTAAAACAAACTCCATTGTGCTTAAAAAATTTCCTTCATTTTAATCATTTTCAAACATTTCTAGAAGTTACCACTTCCAGGATTATTGAAACAAAGAATACCAATAGTTTTCAAAAGGTCAATAGTACACATTGGCCTTCTTTTAATCCTAGGTGGTAGACCTTTTATGAGTTTGTTTATGGTTACCTCTCACTTCAACTGTCAGTTCAAGTCCTTATTTGACTTATCTTTTTATTAATTTGAATGTTTTACAGCATTTGCTAAAATATTAACCATTTAAATATCTGAAGTAGGAAGATGACAGTTAAAACAAACTGTGATCTATCTTTTAAAAAAAAATTGCAATGAGTAGTGAGATGACCAATCAGTTCAGTGATTTTATATGTAAAGAACTAAGTAATAGCCAGGCACGGTGGTGCATGCCTATAATACCAGCAGCTCAGGAGACTGAGGCAGGATGATTGCGAATTCAAAGCTGGCTTCAGCAGCAACAAAGCACTAGGCAACTCAGTGAGATCCTGTCTCTCTAAATGAAACACAAAATAGGGTTGAGGATGTGGCTCAGTGGCTGAGTGCCCCTGAGTTCAATCCCCGCTATCTCCCTAAAACAAATAAACAAAAAACTAAGTAGCAAAACCTTAAAACAATTCTAAGAAAAGATCATAAAATGTAACAATAGTTCAGAGACCTCAAGCTGACTTCAAATACTATTAAGAGCAAAGATTCCTCAGAATTGGAGATACAGAGAACTGGGCAGAGAAAAAAAATCCAGGATAAATTATAATCTTTTTATGTACTAATCTTAAAGATGTAGTCACCATTAGTAAATGAGAGACGTTACCTGAAGCTATCCAAAATGACTGAGTAGACACTATAAGAAAATTAGACCTAAGTTATGGCTTACCAAGATTTCTTTAGAACATTTTAATTTCATCTGATTTTTTAAAACTCCAAAATAGTTACTTTAATTCCTTCCATATCCCTTTTCTTTTCATCCATCCCCCCCAGCCCCTGCCAACCCTTTTCTCACTAATTGGAGGCTAGACATAGCTCTACTGATTCCTTTAGCTGGCCTAAGCCACAAATGGTCTATTCTTATTTTTCAGGAGTCAAACTAGGGTTGTATCTAAGGCAGGCAAAGATTTTGACTTAGTACTCATAAGTGGCAGCAAATTGGTTGGAAGAGCGGAAAAGGGAAGAAAGAATTGTACAAGATCAGAAGCAACGAGTTAATTGAACTTCTTATTCTACTTAAAAGCCTATATATTAAAACATGGAAGTGTACATCAAATTTAGCTCCTCTAATATGTGCCCAAAATATAATAATATTTAAAGCTTATTCACTGAAATAATATTGAAAGCTTATTCCCTGAAAAAGAAGTCAAAAATTAAATTTGACTCACCATATCATCTTTGTTGGAAATCAATTTTGAGACATGTTTTTCTTCCTCTTTTATCATCAATTTCTCATACAAATCGCTGACAATAAATGAAGGGTAATATCTATCCTTTAAGGTCTCATATACATCTCCCTGGATTTTGTAGAACACCTCAATACCTTTATTTCCTACAAGACATTGCTGGATTTCTTTGTAAAGTGATTTTTCTACAGATATGTCTTTGCTTTCCACAAAGAAATTCTGATAAATTTCACCAACTAATTGTGGAATTTCATTCTGAAAAGACAAGAGTTGAAGAAGAAGAAGGGTAAGTAATATCATCTCTGAGAGAAATTACTTTCCACTGAATTGTTTGCATTTTAAGGCTGGAAGGAAGATATTTGGGATGTATCCTGATACTGTTACCATTGCAGAGCTTAGACTTCTGTGTCCATGTTCAGAGTTAAGGGATAAGTGTTAGGCCCTGAAAAAATTACTGGTTTCTTAAAATAAGCACCTTATGTCAAACAATTAACATCTGTAATTTCTTTTAAAAGCCAGAAATGGAGGAAACACAAGAATTAGAAATTCTTTTTCTGCAATGGATAGCTTTCCATAAATCTCAATTCCATAGGGATACAAATTATTGATGAAAATTCATCTGACTTTTTATCAAAATGAATACTTGTAAGTCCTCACCCACTAATATAAGTAATTTTTATCCCAGAAATATATCAATATCATAGTTGTACATTTTGAAAAAAGAAGACAGATATTCTTCAAAATGTTAATGCAGCATAATTACATTGTCATCAACCTTATATTGATCAGCTTAGTCTTACACAGTACACTTGGGCCACCACTGGCCTAGTTCAGAAATGCCAACATCTCTTTTGATTGACATAATATTTACACTTCTTCTAGAGATACTTTATTAACTCTAGGAATGGTATGTAAAGTTCTCAACAGTAGTGAAAATAAAATACATATAGTAATGAGCTGCTAGGTGAAAATGTGGCTATTTTGAGGAAACTGTATGCTCTTATTTCTTGAGAATTTTGAAAACATAGTCAGTTGTTTAAGAAAACTCTTTAGATTGTTCTTTACTGTATTCTTTTGAGAGGAGCTAAAGGTTTTGATTAAAAAAAGCAATGAAGTTGCCAAATACAATAATGGGTAAAATGAGGTAATTTGTGGTTTGTAACTTAACAATGAGAAATATTCCTAAGACAAAAATTTAAAAATACTGTAAGTCTGTATTTAGTTCCTTAACCAAGGCAGTTTGTGATTTATAATGTATTTTAAATTAGCATTCTGTTCTAGCAAAATTCATAAGCAAATGAGCAATTCAATACACAAGAATGCTCTCTGTGCTTCTATTAATAAACCTCTGGAAATGTTATACACTGATATTTCATGTATATAAACATATTGCTATGTATGTATGTAGACATATGCATACATATACACTAAAAATGTATAGACATTTATTCTTTCTCTTTTTTTGAGATAGGGTCTTGCTATGTTGCCCAGGCTGGCCTCAATTACTAAAGCTATTCTCCCACCTCAGCCTCCTGAGTAGCCAGGACTATATCCCCTTGCCCAGCTAATTTTTATTATCTATTCAGAACCTGCAAGTACAAAGAACACTGTTTAACCATTGGCTTCTTCATTGACAGAGGCATACATAACCACAAATGTACTTTATGTTTGTTTATTCAATCAAATTTTAAATGAAATTAAAGAAGAGTTGTGAAAAAATACATATTATAAAGTGAAGAATAAAAATGAACAAAAAGGAAAAATGAGTATTATGCTATAATAAATGGCAAGGTTATGAGACTGAGGTGAACAAGACCAAATTTATTAAATAGCAATTTAATCTCTTAGGACACTTATGAATCTCTTTTCCCCATGACTACACATTCCAAAATATAATTTTATTTGTCAAAACAGGCTGAGATATAATGACATTATATTTAGTTTAAAATATTCTTTTAATGTATACTTACAGCTGTGTTGAGAAAAGAGACAACATGCCTAACATGCAATTTTCATCAGCTAGGAATTAAAAATCCCTTGAGCCTATATATACTACCTTGTTTGCACTCTTTAAATGTTCCACAGACTCCCAAAAACTAATCAGAGCTCTTTTGTCTATCCTTTCCATGTATAATCGAAAGTGCTCTCGGTACAAAGGATTGGTCAAGATCTCTTCAAACTGAAGAATCTATAATAGAAATTTAAGAAAAATATTTTTAAAATCAAATTTTAAATGCCAGTTTGCTTTAACTTCGAACAGATTAACTTCTACATTTAGGGAAGAATGCACTTTTAAGGTCATAGCCAACGTAAACTGAAATATCTCATCTACCATCTTCCTAAATTTTAAAAGGAATAAAACTTTCTGAATATTCAAAATGCATATATTCAAGAGATACAATTTTCTATTAATCATTCACTCACTCAACAAAGATTTACTTGACATCTACTTGGTATCAGGTACAGTTCTAGAAACAGATAAAAATCCCTACAGAAAGTATATTCTATGCCTAAAACTCAATAGTTGCCAGTGATAGAAAAAATTGAAGAGAATGTATAAAAAGACCAAAAAGCTGGAGTCTAAAGGTTTAGAATTTTGTTTTCCATCATATTTTTATACAGCTGAGGAATACACAAGTGATTTTATATACTGACTTTTTGTTTACAATACCACACTCATTAAAAAATCTTTTGTAAGCATCATTTTAATTGGTCCCTAAAATTCCATTGTTGAATATACCAAACTCAATTCTACTACTCCTTTGTTTACTATTCTGTATATTCGCAGAAACAGAAAAAGGAATCTACCTGAAGACACGGAAAGAACAACCTTGAATATGGATGGCTCTAATGTGAGAAAACAGATGACCTCCATAACAATGTATAAAACTCAATTAGGTGAAATGATTAATTTAGCCATAACCTTAGCCTGAATTAGTGGTAAAAATTTATATCTAATAAGTGGAACTCAAAAATTTTAAGTTAAGTAAAAACTCATATATTGAGATTCTTAAAATTAACATCATGGCAGTTGGCAAATTTCTCAACTATTACCAGTAAGATATTTCTAAAGTCAATGTACATTCAACTCTTCTATCCAACAATGAGCCCTTGCTTAATATGCTTTTCGGGTAGAAAGAGAAAGGCATTTTCTAACAACTTCTGGTACCTAACTAAAGGAGATGGCCATTCATTTTGTACAGACCATTAGTAATCAGTTTCCATATATATTTCAAGGCATTAGTATTTAGTCAGTTTACTAATTTTGTGACATCACAACAGATATCTTCACTTTGTGTAAATCCTACCAGTAGAGAATTCTGAAGCACAAATTCTAACTCTACTATAAAGAGGCTTAAAGTAACTCACATCAACTTTAGCTACAGAAGAGAGAAGATGGGGTTAACAACTCCAGCAACAGATGAAGCCAGGGGACCTTTTTAGACTCAAATACAGAGTCCTAGACTACATTCAGTATTATTCGTTTTGGACTGGACTTGGATGAAATGAATAAACTGATGTGAAAGTTGGCTTTTCTTTAGAAAAGGTTAGATATGTATTGTCACTAATTTCTAAACCCCAAATATTTTCTACTCTCTCTACTAGATTACTTTCATTTTGTTTTATAATTACTTTGGACTTTTTTATTAATTTACTTATTTTTTGGTACCAGGGATTGAATTCTGGGGCACTCAACCACTGAGCCACATCCCCAGCCCTGTTTTGTGTTTTATTTAGAGATAGGGTCTCACTGAGTTGCTTAGAGCCCTGCTTTTGCTGTAGCTGGCTTTGAACTTGCAATCCTCCTGTCTCAGCCTCCCCAGCTGCTAGGTTTACAGGCATGTGCCCCCACACCCGGCCTACTTTAGCCTCTTTGAGAACAGGGATTCTATCTTACTCATTTTGTATCCTAGTATTTAGCACTATTCCTGAGAGACTGTGGGCCTTCATTAATGTTAATTAAATGAATGGATTAATGAAGAATGAATAGGACATAAATTAAGACTTCATCTATGACAAATGGGGCTAGATATTTATTTAGGAGACCAAAAGCTGAGGGAAAGAAAGAAGAAGGAGAATATTCAGCCTACCAAATTACTCTTACATTCACCAAAATGTGAAGTTTTCACTTTGGATCAAAATCCAAAATCTCAGAAAGTTTCCATTGCCAATAGCAAAATTAACAGATCTCTCATAGGCAGGGCACTCCTCTATAAAACAAGGGTCCCTTGGAGCTGCACTTGTGCCATGTGTGTAAGATACTGCAGAATTCTGGGACAGAAACCTGCCTGAACAGGCTCCAATGGAGACTAGTCCAGGAACAAGTGAAAAAGTACAAAGCACATCACTAGAATAGGGATGCAGGGGAATGTGACAGACAAGTAAGTATCTGATCCAAGTCGAAGAAGAGCAAGAAAGATCAAGAAATCAGAACAGGTGAAGGTTAGAAGCTTATAGATGCTGGCTTCTTTGTGACTAAACAATAGCTTACAAAAAAGGATCTTGGCATTTGCCTTTCAGTCCCGGTCTCAGATGGTACAGCCAAACTCCTCAGGGTATACTGACGGTTTCCTTCCATCCCAGCATGCTCCAGGTCTTGTAAGACAAACTTGGTCCTTTAGAGTTAGGATAAGACACTAAAGTAGGGCTACATCATGTTCCTAGGCTCTGTGATTTAAAGACTTGGTAGCAACACAATCCAGAGTTTTGTAATACAAAAAGTCATTGGCATTATGGTTTAGAGAGAAAGCACTTAAGACTTGTGAATCAATCACATCTGTGTTTTTAATCTAATTCTGCCTCATTCTATCTATGTGTTCTTAGGTATGTTACTTAAATATAGCATTTTATTTTTTTGAAAATGAAGATATCGAGTACAAATTTCATAGCATGTGGCAAGGAGTAAGCAAAATAATGCTTAAGATGCTTTCTACTTCACAGGTGGTTATTTCAACCAACTGAGTGAGCGACTTGATTGGAAACCTACAAATAAAAACATGCTTCTCTGAAACTGGGGGAAAACAAGGGGAAAAGATGCAATGGCACATATGCACACATGCACACCCTTGCCATGCCTACCTTCTACTGTTGATAGAAGTCAAGGACACCAAGTAACAGGGTTCTTTTACTCATAAAAACAAGTATGTGAGTCTGTAATTATGGAACACGTCTTAAGTGAAATACTAAAAAGCTAAAAGACTATATATGTGGTTACATCATTGTTTATAATAAAATTATAAGGTCAAAGTAAGAAACTAAAAAGTTCTACCTTCTGGTTTTGAGGCCCTTCCCCCTCATCCAAGGCCCCATCCTCTTGCTGGTCATAGGCAGGACCTCCCAGAATTCTGATCCTCTTTTCACACTGCTTCTTTGCCACAGTCAGTTGGTTAATGTACCTTTTCATATTCCTGGCCCTCAGGAGATCAGCTTTCATTGCAGCAGATTCCTTACCTTGAATATAAGTGATGAATAGAACCCAGTCAGAGGACAAGGTATAAAAGAGGGAACACAACAACTCTATATTTTGAAAAATAGCAAAATTAAGTAATAGAATAGATTCATGATAAATACATCTATATTCCCAAATAACAGTAGTTTCTGAATATATCACTGACAAATTTACCCAAATGTAAAAATTTTTTATTAGACCTCTGTATGTAAAAGTTCACAAATCACTGTATGTATATTTAATATCTTGATATGGATGTGTATACATACATATTCATTTGTAGGTCTGTATTGAATGCTGTATCTGTTAGGCACTGTTTTGGCTTTTGAGATTCAGGACCAATTGTTGGACCACATAGAGTTTATGAAGGAAGAAAACCAAAGATGATACAAGCAATTAAAAGTATAATGTGGGTTATAAAAAGATGAGCAGATACCACTGAACTGTTTAAAAGAGAATTCTAACCCAGTTTTCCTTAAAGAAATCACATTCAAACATGAATATGAATACAGTGTGGCAGTCAAGAAGAACAGCAAGGGTTAAATGAGAACCCTAAAGAGAAAAAAACTTCAAGACCCTATTGTATAGCAGATGCAAAAGGGAAGGGAGATCCAAAATGAACTGGAAATAGGTACAAGCCAGAAGATGCAAATATTTTGGGGCCAGAGAAAGAACTTTATTCGTTAGCCCCAAAGTGAAGCTTTTAGTGGATTTTCAGCAGGGATATGCCATGAATGGATTTATATTTTAAAAGATAACAAAGGAAGCAGGAGGAAAAAAGAGAAAGTTCTAGTTGGGAAACCATTGTAGCAAAACTGCAGAGGGACAAAGTGATGGCCTAAATTAGGTTCATGCCAGTGGCAGCAGAAAGGTCTGGAAATTTTGAGAATGACAGATCCAGTGATCCACTGGACAGGTAGAAGATAGGTTCCGGAGGAATGAAAAGAAAGGAGGTAAAGAGGTGTTAGTTATGGCTTCTAGGTTTCTAACATAAGCAGTCACGCTGGTGGTGGAGCCAATTATGGATCTGGGAACAATGGAGAAAAATCAGGCATGTAGAAAATTATTAATTCAACTTTGGACAATGTGATAGAGACTTCCCAAAGATAGCTACAATATCTTCGGTCTCACTTTCTTTTTACAATGTCATTTCTGATAATCTCCCTCTAAGAAGGAGAATATGTTTCCTTTCTTGAATTTGAATGGGCTTATGATTACGGCAGAAGCGATACTGTAAATTCCAAGACTAGTTTGTCTAAAGCTACTGATTTGGAGCTGTGAGCCACCATGAACATCATCCACCTGCCCCAAGGCTTCCAAACAGAAGAAAACTGAACAATCAGATAATGGAGAGATTTACATGGAGAGGAACCAAGGCTTCCTAGATCATAGCTCTGGTCAAGACCTTGGCCAAAATCCTGCACTCACTTGGTATCATGTGGAGTACACTACCTGGAAAGCAAATTGTCTTAATCCAGTTGATGCCATGTGAAGCACAGAAGTCATTCTTCCCAGCCTCTGCCCAAGTGCAGATGCATGAGCAAGATAAATGACTGCTGTTTAAGAAACTGTATTTTAGGGTGGTGTATTATACAACAAATGATAACTAGAACAGGAAAAATTGGGTTGAGGGCTTTTGATCTATCTAATAGGTCTAGAGTTCACAATTGTTCAGCTCTTCGATGGTTACTGACATCTTGGGAGTAGGTTAAACAACCCAGGAAGAAACAAAATGATCCCAGGATATAATCTAAATAAACCGTACATTCAGTGGCAAAAGAGAAGACAAGCTGAAAAGCCAGGTTACATGTACATCTGTGTAAAAGAAGGCACTTTATCTGTTTATACACTGCTGTATCTCCAGCACTTATAACAGTGCCAAAAGTGCCAATAGTTCCCAATAGGAACTCAAATAAAACAGTTGCTGAGTGGATGAATGAAATATGTCAAATTTTACTGAGAGGCCAATAACAATATAGCTAACATTTTGCTGAGTACTTACTATGTATCAGGCATTGTGCTCTTTCTAGAACTGTGGCTGTGAAGAAGAGAAACAGGGTAAAGTATTTATTTAATTTTTTTGTACTAGGGAATGGACCCAGGGGTGATTTACCACTGAGTTACATCCCCGGCTCTTTTTTTATTTTGAGACAGGGTCTCACTAAGTTGCTTAGGGCCTTGAACTTGCAATCCGCCTGCCTCAGCCTCCCAAGTTGCTGGGATTACAGGCATGTGCCACCATCCTGGGCTCAGGGTGAAGAATTCTTAACTCCTATTTTTTAAACTAATCTCATATGGCTCCTCTATCCCCCACCCACTGACAATATATTTTTGCTAAGATCACCAGTGACCTCACGCCAAATCCAGTGGAAAAATTTCAGTATGATTGGCAATTAGAGTTAAGAGTCAAATTCTGACTCTGTTATTTACAAGTTATGTGGCCTTGTGCAAGAATTTTTAAAAACTTAACTTAAAAACAACTATGTGGTTTTCTTCCTTAGGTTAATATTATATAACTTAAACAAAACAGAACAACCCTACAAAATTAAATAACTAATTATACTGAGTGTGAACACTGGGGCACTTTACAACTAATTTACATCCCCACCCTTTTTATGTTTTATTTTGAGACAGGGTCTTGCTAAACTGCCAAACCTGGTCTCACACTTGCTAGAAGCTAGGATTACAAGTGTGTACCACCATACCCAGCCTCTACAAAATTAATTTTAAATGACTGAACATTGAGTCTTACCTTATGGGGAATGGACCGCCTTTGCAAGTACGACCTGAAGGCTGGGTTGGGGTAAAGGAAAGTATTTTTTGTTTGTTTAAAGTGGGAGACAAGTGAGCTGGTTTTAATGCTAATGAGAAGGAACCAGTTGAAAGTAAAAAGGGGCCATAGATAGGGAATGGAATCTAGAAATTAGATTAGCTTTTGAAAAGTGCCACCTTATCCATGATAGTAACGTGGAGGCAGACCAAATCTATGTAAGATACAAGAAATTTGGAGACGGGTGGCTGTAAGCTGAAACAGTTCCTTTTGCAAGGATTTTGTTTTCTCCAAGTGAGTGAGGTTATCTTCATAGAGTGAGGTGGGTGAAAGGGTGAGGGATGGGAGAGCAGAAGAGCATGCCTACCTCAGAAACTCAGTGAGATTGTTAGTAATGTTTAGGGCCTAAAAAAAACCCCACTAGATAAATATAAATATCCTCCTTAGATATGGTAACTACCTATGTAGGCAGTCCAGATCAGGCTCTCTGGAGATGAGTCATAATATATATATACTTGGAGATTTGGAGCTACTAATAATAAAAGACAAAGTTCTGCATTGAATTTCTTGGTTTCCCTCAGAGTGCAATCCAAAATGTTTTTACACTGGAGACCTCAAATTCTGAGGATGATCATGACCTCTCTCATATCCCACTTAGTAGTCACTATTTTCCAATGCACAAAATAGGACCTCCTCAAGTTTAGCAGTCATTAGAAAAACTTAAACATCATAAAACATGTTTATCTGTCAGAAGCAGCTTTTCCAGTACTTATCACAAAGGATCACAGACAGACTTCAGGTCAATAGATTATGGCATTCAAGATGATCTTTCAGATATTATGGAATTTTTCCATATGTGTGCAAGGGAGGTATTTTCATTGGACTACAATAATGGTTTCTGAACTTGTCCTATGTTTGGCTATTTCCTATGTTGAGATAAACTCAGCATTTATCTCAACATAGGAAAATTACTATTTCAGAGTCCCCTTTATGTGAGGATAAAGGTAAATATAGTTGGCTCCAAACTAGTCTATTGCAAGCTAAGATGCTTTGTGGATATACCTAAAGAAATGTATGTTTAGAGGATGCATTTTCAGAAAAATATTTACTTTTTAAACCTATAGTTAAACTTTAAATTTTATGCCACATTTAGAGTACCCTGAAATTCAGGGGCAAATGTTGCCTTTCAGAAAACAAACCTAAAACTTAATCTTAATTTGGGGTTAAAACATGCTAATACAAAGAGAGCCGTGTCTAGGAGGAAAATGGCACACATTTATCAACTACCACATTCTTTTTCTCCCTCGAAAGCTTGAAAGCCATTCTAAAGAACAAAAACTAGAAGCAAATTCCAAAGAGAAGGAAGAATGAAAGAGAATAAACCTTCTCTTAAAACCCAGCTGCAAGGCTGAGAAGAATATTCTCGTGTTCGGCTTCAACGTAGCCTGATCACGTGAATGCTCTCTGTTTGTTAAAGGGTGATACAAAGCCATTGTCTGATCACAAAGCTTGTTGCTAACAAATGCAGTAGCAGCTTGTTGCTTAGACACTTCTGTTTATTTTTGCCTCAGAAAACTAATGCTACGATCAGAGCTAAAGTGACTAACATGGAGCTCATGCAGCCCATGCTTCTGGCGTGCAAAAATCCTTGTAAATCCAGCAACACGGATGAATACGCTCCTTTGTGGCCCTGAAACCATTCATCCAAGAAATATTCATGTCAAGAAAAGTATAGGCAAGCGGGTGTGCGACAACATGCTGTGACCCAGCTCAAGCCAGATTCATATGGCTGTTTCTGTGCAGTCTAAAGTAGTAACGCTGTGCATTGTTAAAAGTGGGCTAATCACACAACATTTAATCTAGCTTAGAAAAAGAAGGCAAAGATGACAAACAGTGGCCAGTGAAGTACCGGATGGCAGCTCTTTAAATTGGTGCCAAGATGAAATCAAGTGATACAATATTCTAAAGCAATTAATTAAATAGTTTTACTTTTCCCCCTCCTAGATAGTCTAGATTCTATTGAGAACACAGCAAAAACAAATGGGTTAATGTGCTGAAAAAGACAATTATATTAGACATTAGGTGAACTGTTCTGGCCATGACACTACATCAGACTTATGAACAACATCTTAGAAATGCTTTTTGCTATAAATCTTCTGCCTATGAAGATTTATGGTTCTTTGTTAAGTAAGTGAAGTGCCTTGAATAAAATACCAAAGGACAACTGTTAGGTGCTATTTCTCATGAGGCAAGAGAGTAAAGTAACTTACAGTACAAACTGATGACTCTATTAACAACATGATTATAACTGGATGAAAAGGGCACCTCTACATTTTTCAGGTATAAAAAAAGTCAAGAGAAAATTATTCTTCTGTCATAGTATTCCCAAGCATATTAATAATAGCATTCTCAGCAGATTGAAGAGTTTAAAAGAGAACTCACCGCAGGGTTTCTCAATCTTGTGGGTATTTGAGGCCCGGTAATTATTGTGGAGGGCTGTACTGTATACTGAAGAATATTAAGGAGCATCCCTGGCCTCCACCACTAGATGCCAGTAGCATCCCTTCTCCCAGAGATGACCACCCAAAATGACTCCAGACACTGTTAAATGGGAGCAAAACTCACCCCAACCCCTACCAGGTCCCAGCAAGAAATACTAATAGAGAGCACAACTTCTGTGACCACACAGAGGACAAGGCTGCATATGCCTCCCCTACCCCTGACTACTCAACACAGGTCCTCTTTCCTTCTCTGCAGAATCCACACATTTTCTCACAGTCCCCAGGCAATCAAGGAAAGGAACAGGGACTTCCTCAATAAGAAATGCTGGGCTACATTCCTTAACCCATATGCATTCTAACAGACCAAACAGCCTTTGAATCTTCTTGTACATTTAAGTAGAAGTTTTACCAAATCCTCTTGATGGAAGATTTATTAGTCAGCTTTTTGTCACTATGACCAAAATAACCAACAAGAACAACTTAGAGAAGTTCATTTTGGGTTCACAGTTTCAGAGATTTAGTTCATGATGGGCTGACTCCATTGCTGTAGGGCCAAGGTGAGGCAAAAGAACATCATGGTGGAAGGGTGGGGTGAAGGAATGTAACTCCATTCATGGCATTCAGGAAGCAGGGAGAGAAAGAAAAGGGATGGGGCCACAGGGACTATGCACCCTTCTAGGGCATACCTCCAGTGACCCATCTCAAGCCATGCCCCAGCTGTCTATATTTACCACCCAGACAGTCTATTCAAACTAGGATGGATGAACTAATTTCATAATCTAATCATTTTATCTTTAATACAGGAGTTCTAGAGAGACACCCCATAACAGGTATGTGTTCTCAAAGGGATTTAGTCAAGTTTCAAAATGAGTTAATGGTACTTGATTTCCTAACAGGAAGCTGGCAACAATTCTCAATAGTTTTACTGTAACAAACTTCTTCAAAATTATCTGAAAATCATCTCAAAACTCCCCAGAAACTCAAAAAATATTGACCTTGCTTTTCAATTTGAGGCTAGTATGTGCTTTAAAAAAAGGTGGGGGGGGGATACCTTATTACATCAAATACCTGGAATTCCAGTCTAAAGTGTCACTCTACTCTATGGAGAGCATACTTGAGAAATAAGCAGAAATCATCAGGAGTTGATGGTGGAACCTCTCACTTGACAGGGGAAAAGACTACAGAGACCTCACAGATCTTGAGTGGTCTAGTCAGAGTACGCCTGCAGCCTGCCTTCTACTTCCTTCCTCTGATGTCTCAAGTGCTGGGACTTCTCACATTTCCTTTGGTTTAAGGCCCTGAAATACATTTACATTTAACAGGTAATTATATCATATCAATTAAATTCACACATTACATTCAGAACCCCTTATTCAAATTAGTACTGTGAGGTGAATGGATTTGATAGACACCCTTGAAACACAGATCGGATCTATATCATTTTTAAGTGTTGGGCGTGACTCTCATAACATCTACCCATGGAAATGAGTAGTGCAGTGGAAAGAGTCCAGGACTTTAACTCAGGAGACCTGAGTTAAAGTTCTGAATTAGGTGTGTGACTAACTAGTTCTATGTTCGAAGGAGGTAAATTGTTTAACATATCTGGACTTGATCTTTGTTTTATAAAATGTAGGTGCTAGAAAATGTGAGGATTATAGTTTTCTAGGGGGAGAGAGTAGGAGTAGAGTTGACTATAAAAAAATCATAGACTATAATGAATGTAATGGAAGTACCTGAGCCCTTAGTGTTTTAAGGAAGAGGGGAGCTAGGTAGTGACATACAGGCTGAGAAGCTGTTGTACTCACAGTGTGAGGACTGGGCAGAGAGAAACCACAGCAAGAGTCCCTATCACAATAGCAGGGAAATAGCCCATGGTCTCATCTTAATCCATTCATGCCTCCATTAAAAAACACCATAAACAGATATATTGAAAAACAACAGAAATTTGTCATTCTGGAAGCTGTAAAATCCAAAATTAATTGTCATTAGAGGTGGTGTCTTCTTGACATGTTTTCACATGGTGCAAGGGACATGGCAACGCTCTCAGGCTTGTAAGGGTACTAATTCCCCTTCAAAGACTCCATCTTCAAATACCATCTTCAAATACCATCACCTTGGTGATCAGGTTTCAACATTGAGTATTTAGAAGACATAAATACTCAAATCACAGCAGATCTTGTAAGTTTAGGTCATTTACAAATTAGCAACTGCTTGAATTACTACATTGAAATGCTAAAAAATTCAATAATATCAAAGCATTAGAGAAGACCCTGAAAATCTACTAGAACCCACAGGTTAGCTCCCTTCTCTCAGGCAGTGACACCTTTAAACTCTAGACTGGATAATGAAACCATATAATATGATTTAAAAATAATTCCTAATGGAATTATTACAGAAAATAACAGTGTATGTGTGTTTACACATGTGTATATACGTATTCCATATAGTCTATTGTTTTCTAAGTTCTACTTGATCAATTCTATAACCATTTAGTTATACTTGGATAAGACAGTATTTTATCAATTTTACCAAATGAATAAAAAGGCAAAAACCTTCGAGTCTATATTGAATCTATCACTCTTAAGTATGTACTACAGAGATTTCCGGCATACTCAAATCAACTTCATGTCCTTGGCTTTAGTCAGCTGAATGAGTGTTACTCTTGAATTGCCTTAACTATTCTTGATAACACTACAGGATTCAGAACAGCACAGTAGAAAGCTTTAAACAAGGCAGCTGCTATGGTGGGCTTATTTGCATTAAACTATAGGTGAAACTTTATATGTCTCACTAGTACTAGAATTCCTACACTTGGGTAGCTTATTAGGTAGCTTATTTTAACAGACTATTTTGGAACCGCTCTGACCTTCTGTCTAGTTGTAAATATAAAGCTATAAAGTTGAGCACTAAATGCAAATATAAATACAACAATGGTTCTGTGTCATTTGCACTAATGGTTTTCAAAGTGTGGTTCCTGGATAAACAGCATCAGCCTCACCAGGGAGCCTGGGAGCAGTGCAAACCCCTCAGGCCCACATAGATCAGCACAATCAGAAACTATGGAAAATGGCTGAGGAATCTGCTTTTAAGCAAACCCTCCAAATGAGTCTGACACATATGGAACCACTGCTCTACAGATACAAGTCTAAACTTCTAAGTTTAGTTTCAGGACCCTTTGCAATAGGCCCCTGTTTACTTATCCTGCCTCTTACCTTATATGAGGTTATTTCCTAACTCACTTTTTCATGGGGTACTATCTACCCGTATCTATGAGACAAATCCAAATTGGAATGAAAGCCATTAAAACTTTAGGACTCAACCCAGTGTTACTCTTGGCCTGTATTCCAGATAAGGTTGACCACTCTACATTTCTGTGCCATTATGTATCCTGAACAAGCAATTTTCCCTGCATTTATCAAACAACATCATCCTGTTGTATGTGTCTACCAGTCTCCTCATAAGACTATGAGCTCCTTTAAGTCAGAGAGAGTTTTATTCATTGCACTGCTGTACCTAATCCACAAAGGCACTCGGAAAATGTTTTCCAAATAACTGAAAACCCACTTGTAGTGATTAAGCTATCCTTCAGAGTAATTCTCTACTGATATGAGATATCCTAAGAGAACTCAAGAGTGCTCTCTTCTACCTGCAATCAGGGGAGGTAGGGTTGTAATCAGAGGAGAAAGAGATTTTAGATATTAAATACAAAGGATAAGTAGGAGTTACCCAGGCAGAAAGAGACTGAGAGAAAGGTAACATTTCAAGAAGAAAGAGAGCATGCAAAAACTATTGAGACAGGAGGAATCAATGTGAGCTTAGGAACAAGAATAATTCATGTAGCTGAAGTGTGGGAGTGGGGTGGGGGGATGGCAGGAAGTGGAAATTAGTATAAGGACACAGGCCAGAGTAAGTAGGACCTT